AATTTCTTGTTGTTAGAAAAGTAAAAGTTAGCAACATATAGTGGCTCAGGAAGGATATGCAGTTTTATAGTCAGATGTTCAGACTCACTGATGCTTCTTGGAGTTTCTGTAGCTGCAATAGTATTTCTAACTAATGTAATCATGCCTCCTTTGTGGCCATCACTGTCTAGCCTATATGTTTCATAGCCTCTGACAGAAAAGCGAGAGCCTATGTTTAGAGGGGTTTCCTGAATGCAGACAACATCAATATTGTGTTCATATATGAATGTTTGCAGTTCGAGCTTTTTCATCATGACCCCTTCTGCATTATCTTTAGAACAGTATATATTAGTGAGAGTAACTATTGTCAATGTATACCATGCAACACACAATAATAACTGACTACACGAGCAGCTCTTTCTATGTGTACATCATCTGTTTTATTTGTTTACTAGTGACACCAGGCAGTGCCACAATTGACATTTGGTTTCCCTACTGTCTATACAAAAACTCATGCAGTTTTCTGTAATATACTCAGTGAACAAAGACCACAAGTGTACACTGTTGTCTGTAATATACTCAGTGAACAAAGACCACAAGTGTACACTGTTGTCTGTAATATACTCAGTGAACAAAGACCACAAGTGTACACTGTTTGCTGTAATATACTCAGTGAACAAGGACCACAAGTGTACACTGTTTTCTGTAATATACTCAGTGAACAAAGACCACAAGTGTACACTGTTTGCTGTAATATACTCAGTGAACAAGGACCACAAGTGTACACTGTTTTCTGTAATATACTCAGTGAACAAAGACCACAAGTGTACACTGTTTTCTGTAATATACTCAGTGAACAAAGACCACAAGTGTACACTGTTTTCTGTAATATACTCAGTGAACAAAGACCACAAGTGTACACTGTTTGCTGTAATATACTCAGTGAACAAAGACCACAAGTGTACACTGTTTTCTGTAATATACTCAGTGAACAAAGACCACAAGTGTACACTGTTTGCTGTAACGCACCACAGTAGAAATGAAAGGGCATTTACCACATGATCATCATTGTCACATAAGACTTGAAATCTATACCTCCATTCAGTTTCTTTCCCATGAGGACGGAATCAAGTCCAGCATCTTTGCCCTCTTTTATCACAGGAGGGTACTAAAAAATATTATTTGCTGGAAGACAATTCTCGGCTGACCTTCTCTTACGTTATTCTACGTAGCAAACTGACTTTGATTTACTAATGCATAAAAGATAACGCATTTCCCTTGTAAATATGCTACAGAAAAAGGTCCTCCCTTAGGAGTTACTGTTTTGGTTTAAAATGTTAGATTTTTACATATTCAATATGGCATACATAGTGGGGCTTCTAGTTCCCTTTATCTTCATCATTATTTCCTAGACTTTAAAAAAAAATGATAAAACAATGCCTGGTTTTAAAAAAAAATGAAGTTGGGTGGACTCCAGAGGCTATTAAAAAAAAAAAAAAAGCCTGCCTATATTGGAGGCTGAAACCTGGAATGTTGTCTTGACAGACAAGCATGTTAATCACTATGTCACCCCAGCACTGTTACAGAGGTGTGAATTAACATACCTGTACATATAGCGGAGGCACCAGCAACAAGTGTAGCTAAAATACTATCAGTAGCAAAGCCCTTTTATATGGCATTAGACATCTGAATCCTGTCAACCCGAGAAGCTACAAAACTGACACTTCCAGTTGGCGCCAATTACCCATAAATGTCACTTTTCTGATTTGTCTATAGTGACTTGTTTACGAGAGGTATAGTTAATGCTACTGGTGGTGTTCATGTCTGTGGGATCGCTTGTGAGGTCAGTATATGAATATATTACCTAAAAATAGTTTGGGGGAGGAGGGGTTCTTTAAAACAAACAGTATTTTGAAGCCAAGTTGATGTCAAATTTTCTCATGTCTCAGATGTATTTTTCTTTGGCTCGTTAGACACCTTTAACATTGTTTTATCTGAAAACCTAGCAAGTCAGTATCATAAAGCGTGCATCCAGCATAGCTCCCCCTTTTAGGTCCCGCACTCTGTTGAATGGGCCAATCGTAATGGGCAGGTAAACCTTGCTGCCAATTAGAAGGCCTTTTTTCAGTCACAAGAGATGTTGCTTATCTAGGCTGCGAGTAAAAGGGTTGTTAAGGGGCGGCGTCTCAGCAGTACAGTAGTTCATTCCCACTCAAAAGATGTTTCAACCAAGGGTTGCCATTTAGTAGTATTTTCGGCCGCCGGTCTTTACCCATGTTCCAAATTAGCTTTGACAGATGTTTTTCCTCATGGTTGAGGTGTGGGTTTATGTGAGCCAGACTGCATGCTACACATCTAGAGGTCACCATCTCTGAGATGCCCTGCCAACTCGGTTCAGGTCACAGAAGTGAGCCCTTATCCGTGGCTCACGAAGTGAACGTGCAGCAGAAGTCTTGTGTGAGGATCCGTAAAACCATCCAAAAGTCGGCTGGCACCCGAGGTGAGGTAAAGAGTAACTCCTTATACACATCAACATGGCCTCAACTTTCTCCCACACCTGTGAGAAACACTGGTTCACATTTAACATAGAGGCGGTATAAGTTACCACCTTTCTCCACTGAGAAATCTCTGGAGCAAAACACAAGGCTCTCTTGTCTATAACTGTTCAGCCAGGAAGAAATTTATCCTTAACACAGTATTAAGAGCAGCGATAGTGCAGTGGCTAAAAGCTTGCCTGCTGGTCTGAAAGTCTTGGGATCAAATCTGTCCTTGGCAGACACGGAAAAGGGGTGTGACCTTGGCGCCCAGACTTACCTCACCTAAAATGGGTATCAAGCAATCACCCAGGATTTAAAGGCTTGCTAGTCAGAATGCCCCTAGATGCGAGCTTGCTAATAAATTTGTTTACACAGCTCCTGCGTAAACAAAGTCATTCTGAATTTTTAAAAATCACTTTACCCATCTTCCGCATCAATACAGCAGAAGAGGGGTTTGCACATTCCAACGATCCAAGCCGATGATAGCATGGCCGATGGCAGTTTCCAAAGCTAGAGATCGAGAGACTACCCTACTAGTACACTTAAGAGTTTGAAAGACAATGAAAGGAACTCCAACAGAAAAAAAAAACTGTGAAATTTGGATGTACTAGGGCAAATGTTTGCTGAAATAGGACAGTTAACGCATTTTATGGTGTAATATAACTAGACTGACAGGCTTCAACATTTGTCCCTCATTTCACGGTTGCAGTGTCTTAATTCTTTTTAAAACAAGAAGAGTCTTGGCTCAGTGCACAAAGTCATGGCACTGTGATTTCGGTCACAATGGTGAGGAAAAGTTAATCACAATGGTGAGGAAAAGTTAAGTCCGATGTGATGTACACTGCGTACCTCACTCGGGCGCCAGCCCTTCACTTTTCTGGTTTTACGGAACCTCATACAAGACTCCTGCTGCAGGTACCCATCACGGATACTGTCTCAATTGAACATTAACAGAGTTGGCAGGGGATCTCAGAGTTGGCGGCACCCAGAGGTTTAGTGCCCTTTCTGGCTCTCATCAGCCTGCCCCCAAACACACTGGTGAAAAAGTCTTTCAAAACTTTTTTGGAACATGAGTAAAGTCTGCCTGCCATATGTACCACTAAATGACAACTCTCGGTTAAAGGTCTGTGTAGTGAATGGAATGGAACTGTGCTGCCGAGACTCAACCCTTGACCAAAATATTTACCGCAGCCTAGATGAGTAACATCTCCTGTGGGCTGTTTCTCGTACTAAGATCCTACCTAAATACATCCTCTGTCAACCCTCAGCGTCACCGTCACCGCGCTGATGTACACCACGACAGCAACTGTTCATCTCTGGTTAGGCCCTAATGTCCGACAAAGATTGATCCTATGGCACACAAGCAAAGCTTAAAGTCCAACCATCATAAATCTTACTGATGGAAAAAAAGTCCAAATGTCCACATCCACTGGCCCTACTTTTGGGACCAAACAGGTGAAGCCATGCCTGACGCATGCTTCTCCATTCTGTCATGCTGAGGGCACAGTTGAAACAACGTTAAAGGTATCTAACATGCTATCAAGAAAAATGTACCTATCTCCTGGACCTGGTAGCTGCTTCCCGTGATCTCCGGGAGACGGAGCCTGTGTCGAGCGCGAAGCTCAATATATGGTTGTGACATTAGACTGTCATGTGCAGGACGTGACGATTCCTTGGGTGAGCCCAGAACCAAAGTGTCATGTGTCGGCTCTGCTTTTATGGAAGCCTCCTACGATGGCGGGGAATGCCCATGATCTGCCCCTGCCTTTCCTTGAGGGCTGACCGTTCTACATAGAGGGCAACACTGTAGATAAAGGGACAAAGAGGACACCACACAATTAAGGCAACATGTCGACCCACACAAAACAATGGCCACAGTCATACTAGAAATTGGCCTGATGTCCTCCCTCGAAGTCAGAGTACATCTGCCGGTGAAGCAGGGAACAAGAACTGCAAACAAATAAGCCAGTAAAACGGATTTACATGCAAAACTCAGGTCCAGGTAAAAGCCAAAATTCCAAATGGGACTTTCCGCCAGAATTCACAGCTAGTGAACAAGAAGAAGAAATGCACAAAGTCTGTGGTGCTGGTATGATGAACTATGTGTAGAACTTACACATAAACTTACACAAATATTGTTTCTGTTAAGGTTTTCTCATCTGATAATTTTGCCAGTGCAGGGTCACAGGGCTTAGGTATCACTGCCCACATCTCAAGCATTTTGAACATGCAGAATTTGCAGTGACCTATTTATGGGCCCTTATCCAAATTTGGTTATACAGCTGTTTCAATATCCAGAGATCTAGACACTGAGTATGGCATTACTGACCTCTTGTGGAGAACACTGTTCTCAACTTCAGAAGAAATTTCAAGTCCCAAGTGTTTTGACGAGTATATTTCCATGCATTAAATGACTCCTGTTACTTACATTTGAAAGTTAATGTTCATTTGTTTTCTCCTGTGCTCTTGTTCTGTGTTCATATTTCATGTGGTCACTTCTTGAGTCATCAACTTGATTAGTTCTGCTACCACATGAACATTGAGGCTGTTTCCTAATACTCTGTATTTCTGGATTCTGGACAGCCCTGGTGGGAATTCCAGCTGGGGCGGAAAGCATAACAAATTGGCAACCTCTCTTGGTGTGAAGTATCTCAGCTGTAACTTCCGGAGAATGTACAACTCAGCCTCACCCCATTCTGTGCGATTCTTGAGCTTCACAACACAAGATTTAAACTCACTGGCTGCTCTGACATCCTGCAAAGATAACAACATGACACCATTACTACACAATAACAGGTGGCCAAGTAGACAAAGATCTCTGCCTTGTTGTTTAGTAGTAAAGGTGATAAACTAGGGAAAGCAGTGACAGTTTTCGTAAGAACAATGGTGAGAATATTTTGGCTGACAAAAGTTCATGCTGGCAGCACAAAGACAGAAAGAGACTAGACACACATATACAGAATGAATGTATGTGACTGAGTGAGTGAGAGAGAGAGCTGAGAGAGAGATAGAGAGAGATAGAGAAAGAGAGAGAGACAGACAGAGAGACAGAGAGAGAGAGACAGACAGACAGACAAAGCTACCAAAGATAAACAAAAAACATTTACCTCCACATTAGTTGTCATTTGAACTACAGAACCAGCCCCGTCAACATAATGGCCATATCTGGGAAAGGATGACAACTGACATTCATAAATGAGTTTATTCAGAGTTATAAATGCATTAGTGCTGTCCCAAGTAAGCATAACACAAGTACCAAGAAAGACACACACACGCACAACACGATTATTATTATTAATCATCATTTAAAATAAACTAGAAGAAAGTATGCATTTTCTGGTACCCCAGTGTGACTAGACAATATGAGGGCTCAATACTTGAAAGGGGAATACAACCAGTCACGATGTTCTATGAAACAAAAACAATCAACATGAAAATATGACTCATACAAAGAAATACTGTCCTATTTAAACATAGTTCATGCCACAATAAAATAGTGTAGTTTCTAACTGTGCTGATAGAGCAATAAAACAGTGCATTATTAAGAAGGTTAAAATACTGCACAGCTTCCACCAGTGATTCGTGATAGAGTCAACCCCTAAAAGTGAAACAATCACATGTGCCTGACTATTGGCTCTTTGAAGGCAGCACATGCAGGAAGAGAATGGTCACTTGTCCGTGCCGTAACAACCTACTGTGAGAGTAACTGCCCTTTGATATAACATCCTTATCCTGCCAATAACCAAAAAAACATTTCTTCTGGGTTCCTCCCCCCCCCCCCCCCCCTATGTTATGGGGTCCAGACAAGTATAGCTTTATGATAAAAGCACCTCTGTGGGGTGGCGTGTACTACATTTCCATCGGCGACCGCTTCGCCCACTGGCTGGCCAGTTGATGACTTTGTCGCCAGTCAAGACAATATTTGGGTCTCTATCCTTTGATCACATTAACACTGCAAGAGTCCTTTTCAGAGCTACTGGGTGGTGAGCAATGTTAAGCCATTTTATACAGCGCACATAACCTAGTCACAATTATAACCTAAAGCTACCCCTTTGAGGACGCTGGTTGAACATGGCGATTTAAAAAAAATAAATTCCAGCAAAGCAAGTTAAAAGTGTGCTAATCTTTGTTGCTCTTGCTGTTTTGCTAATTAACAATATTATCGTCCAAACTTTGCCATTCCCACTGTTTTTATGTCAATGCTATTTACAGTATCGGTCTGGGATGGAAGTGATTGATTCTGACCGACATATAAGACATACCTGTGGATTCTGTTTACTATACTCACAAAAACTGTCAGGTGAAGATACTAATAGTTCCAGTACCAACACATCATAATGTTGCTCTCATATGTTTCTCCTTGCTGGACCTATACCTAATTTCATATCCACACACTTGTTTCATCTTACACCTAACTCCTTATCCACACACTTGTTACATCTTACACCTAACTCCACATCCACACACTTGTTACATCTTACACCTAACTCCACATCCACACACTTGTTACATCTTACACCTAACTCCATATCCACACACTTGTTACATCTTACACCTAACTCCATATCCACACACTTGTTACATCTTACACCTAACTCCATATCCACACACTTGTTACATTTTACAGCTAACGCCATATCCACACACTTGTTACATCTTACACCTAGCTTCATATCCCCACACTTTTACATCTTACACCTAAAGCCATACCCACACACTTGTTACAGCATACATCTAACATTACATCTTAAGCTGGGAAGACTTTAATAATATTTCCTTGGCACATTTTAACTGCTCCTACAACTGTCACTTTTGCAACCAATAAATCTGTTCCTTGCTTCACACTCAGAGATGGTAGGGGAGAGAGAGAGAGAGAGAGACTGAGAGAGAGACAGACAGACAGATAGAGGGGGAGGGGGGTCTGGGTTCAATCCCCAAGAGTGGCAGGATGTTTTCTGACTAGTATGGTTCTTAACCCAGCTTCATAAAAATGGCTACCAGACAATTTCTAGCATTTTCTAAGAAAACAAAGGGACAAGGAAGAGAACTGTTCATCCCATCTCATATATAATGGTCTTGACTATGAAAAGACCTAACAATTCACACCCCAACTGCAGTGTTTAATATCAGACTATCCCAATCCCCAACAGTGTGGAGGAAGGAAGGATGGATGTAGACATGCATATGTTGGTTTTATACATAGATATATAAATAATTATGTACACAGAACATGCCATAAAGGTCTAGCAGTGTGTATACCTTTTTGTAAAGCAGATGGACTTTTTCAAGGCGGGAAACACAATGTCCATGATGACAAACAGTCTCAGCTCCTTGTCTGAGAGCCAGTAGTCAGCTAGTTCATCCCGAGACAAATGCTCCATGAACTGCCACAATGGCTTGCTGCCTGCATTAATTACATCATCATCATCTTCACAGTACCTCATGTTGCGCCCAGCATCTCTCAGCGCAAAAGAGTTACCCCTGGCTGCCTCAATGTCATCTTGGCTAACTTCCAATGGTCCAGCACCAGTATGTGAATTCAGATGACCAGTTTCATTCGGACAGGAGTCTGGATGCCTGGTGTGAGGTCCTTCACTTGATACTACACTAGAGCCATCAGAATCTACAGTCTTCTTTTGTATATGTTCACTACAACGGGTTTCATTAATAGTATTAGAGCAGTGCTGCTGTGACCAGTTCACATTCTCTATAGATGCATGCTGAGCTGATCTGACCTCTCTAACTGTGCCGGCCAAAGATGGTGATATCTCACACTTTGGCAAATGTTCTAGTATCTGAAATGGTTATTGGAACAAATTTAGAAAATTCACTGACAAATGTTAGCTAGTAGCTCATGTCAATTATATATGTGGATCATCATCATCCTGTAACATTTTGTGTCGTTGGGTCACCAATTACTGTTGACTGTCTGATCAGCTCGCTCCACCTCTAACATGTAATGGACTTCATGCCTAAAGCCTGTCCAGTCAGTCAAGTTCTGTATCCAGGTCTTTCCTGGTCTGCCTCTACTCTTCCCCTTTACTGAGGCCTGCAGCATTGTTTTTTTAGAGGCCCTTAGATCTGATTAAATGTCCATACTATTGCATTTTTGGTCTTTTCAATGTATTTAAAAGAGGTTCATTGGTGCCAAAGTGCTGTGCAATTAAACGAGCCTCGTTATTTGTGAGGTGGTCTATACCACCTATACTATATTTAGAATCTTTCAGAAAGATTGCATTTCAAATGCTTGTATATATTTTTTTTTAAGTTCAGCTTTTAAGGTCCACACACACAACCATCTAAGGAATTCACAAATGTTTCTGCAGAACATGTATCAAGAAAAAATCTGCATCTTCAACTAAACCATGTTCATTTAGTGGACTGGAATACATGACTATCAGCAGGATTATCCCAATGATTACTGGATGAAGGAACAAGAAATAAAAACATGAGGCCAAGAAATGAGCCAGTGGAGCAACAGAACGTGATTACACAATCTGATAAATGAATCAGCCAAGCATGTGTGGCAGACAGCTGAGTGAGCCAGAATGAGGCTATGCCCTCAGAACTGAACAGTAACATCCAGTCAAGAGTCAACTTCACAGAATGAAGTTGCAACATTGCTATACAAGAATTGTTTGATTCACTGGAAGAACAGTTTTATTATGAATAAATAGAATTAGTCTGGCCTGGGTGTGACTGTTGAATTAACATAACCCAGAAATATATACTGCTCAGACTTGTGAAACCAAATACACTTACTTACTTACTTAGTCGCTCCTCTTCTACCTTGGGGTGTAGAGGTTTGCCAGAGAGATCGCCAGACGTTTCTATCAGCAGTTTTCTTTCTGGCTTTGTTCCATTCCAGCCCTCTGTCAGTTAGGGACTGTCGGATGTTGTCTTCCCAGCGCACCCTGGGTCGTCCCGGAGGTCTGGTTCCCTGGTTCTTAGCCTCCCATGCCTGCCATGGTGGCCGATTTTCTCCCATTCTGCATACATGTCCAAACCATCGTAACTGTGACTGATCCACTCGGGTTAGTAAGGGCTGGGTATTAAGATCCTGACGTATTGTCTGATTGCGGACTTTGTCCCTTCTTGTCACTTGGACCACCTTTCTCAGGTATCTCATTTCCGAGGCCTGCAGCTGGCCTCTGTGAGCTGTTGTCATTGCCCATGACTCACACCCATAGGTCAGGACTGGTACATAGGTAGAGCGGTAAACAGCCATTTTCGTCCTCTTGCCAATTTCTCTTTTGCTAAGAAGAAACCAAATACAAAATACCGAAATCAAGAAGGTCTCCACCTCTTGACGCAACGACCCAATAAATGTGTAACAGTAAACATTTTACAGCCCTAAGGTTGTGTCAGTCTAGGAATTGCACTTTCTGCGCTGGTTAATGACTGCTGTACAGATAAACCTGTGATGACCATTTAATTTGTCATTTAAGCTTCACTAACCGTCAAACTAACCTGTGATTGTACATTAAAGGCAAAGTTCTTTCCTCTTCTGGCTGTCAGGTAATATCTGAGGCGGCAGTTTGGAATTCCAAATTGTAAGGGAGTGAGCAGGAACTCCTGGTAGACATAGCCACATCTCTCCAGACAACTGACCAATTCTTTACGAGTCTGAGAAACTTCAAATCCTTTGACATTTTCCACAAGCAGATACTCAGGCTTTACCTTCATTCTGGGCAACAATAAAAGAAATTTAGGTATTACATGTTACAGCTTCATCCTCTCTTTCTTCATCATAACTGTCATAATTTCTAATTATATACAAATTTAACAAACAAAGGAGCCATTTTGTTGAGAAAATGAGGAGCAAAAACTATGCCAGCTCTGCATGTGATCTTCATGCTGAGATAAAATATTTGTAAACAGTTTTATAGTATTATAACCCTCAATCCTAAACACATACAGTGCAGACCTGATAAGGAGAACTCACAGGGTACCCAAGAAAGCGTTTTCATTATCAGAAATTCCTCTTATCAATTCAAGCAAGACAAATTGCCAGGGATAAGCAAATACTAAATAATAATGACACAAACATATACTGCACAGTTTAGTGCCTGACATGTTTTGCTGCATCTCATTTAGTGCATGTTACAGAATTTCCACCAATTTACGATTAAGTGAAAAAATGAATCCTTTCAACTGAAATAAATCAAATAGTCAGTAGAAACACTGTATATCTCACCACATAGTCTTACATTATCCATGCGATCCTTTTGTTTACATAACAAGACACTGCACAACTTAATTCTGGCTGTTTCAGCCTACCTCAAAAGACACCAGCCCATATGTGATAAATAGCCCAGAAAATACTATCCCCATCAACCACAGGCCCACAGCCTACAAGATGACAGACAATTGGAGAATATTTCAGTCAGTAACAATTTCCACAGAACCAGACAAAGACTTACTCATCTAGCAGACGCAATATATGCAAAAAGGACTTGGTTCTCACATCTTGACAGTCTCCTTTCTTCCCCACTCGCGTGAAAGGCTGGCAAGGTGGACTCATCAGAATAGTATTTATTTTTAGGCTTTCTAATTTCTCCAGCGTTAATTTCTGTAAAGAACACAAAGAATTAAACAGTTTGACAAAATCACTAATGCGGGGCTTTTGGAGAAAACTACAATAAACAAATTTCAATAGTGGAAAAGATGGTGCTAGATATATACTCACTGCGATAATATAATAATAATACAATAATAATACGATAATAATACAATAATAATACAATAATAATATAATAATAATATAATAATAATATAACAAGAATGTCCTTATTCTCCATGTGGGTTCTATGCCTCAATTTAGGGGGTGGGGAAAGAAAAGACCCACTGTCCCCTAACAAGCATGTTGTAAAAGGTGACAAACTAAGGGTGTTTCTTCAGACTGAGTCTGCCTGAGGGACCAGGAACCAACAGTCTACCCGAGGGACCAGGAACCAACAGTCTACCTGAGGGACCAAGAACCAAAAGTCTACCTGAGGGGCCAGGAACCAACAGTCTACCTGAGGGACCAAGAACCAAAAGTCTACCTGAGGGGCCAGGAACCAACAGTCTACCTGAGGGGCCAGGAACCAAAAGTCTACCTGAGGGGCCAGGGAACCAAAAGTCTACCTGAGGGACCAAGAAGTCTACCTGAGGGACCAAGAACCAAAAGTCTACCTGAGGGACCAAGAACCAAAAGTCTGCCTGAGGGACCAGGAACCAACAGTCTACCTGAGGGGCCAGGAACCAAAAGTCTACCTGAGGGGCCAGGGAACCAAAAGTCTACCTGAGGGGCCAGGAACCAAAAGTCTACCTGAGGGGCCAGGAACCAAAAGTCTACCTGAGGGGCCAGGAACCAACAGTCTACCTGAGGGGCCAGGAACCAAAAGTCTACCTGAGGGGCCAGGGAACCAAAAGTCTACCTGAGGGGCCAGGAACCAAAAGTCTACCTGAGGGGCCAGGAACCAATAGTCTACCTGAGGGACCAGGAAGTCTACCTGAGGGGCCAGGAACCAAAAGTCTACCTGAGGGGCCAGGAACCAATAGTCTACCTGAGGGGCCAGGAAGTCTACCTGAGGGGCCAGGAACCAACAGTCTACACATAAATAAACAAGTTCTTCAAATGGATCTGCATGCAAAACTCAAGTTCTGGGACAAGACCAAAGCACAGAATCAGTAGAACAACCAGAACTTTCCACAAGATTACATTACAGCCAGTGAGTGCTAAGAACTACAGGGATGTCCTTAAAATGGAAGTCACAAGGCCAAAGAAATAAAGTGAGGGAAAAAATAAACACATGGAATAGAGAATCATAGATGAATGAATAGGGTGGCGAAACATGGAGTAAGCTGTATGAAACTAACAAAGGATAGGGTAATCTGGTGGAAGCCACTGTGGGCTTAAGCTCGACACATCAATAAAAGGAAAACATCTTTCTGCAAGGCAAACTAAAAATAAACATTATATTTGATATCTCAGTAATATAAATAAATATCATTACATTGGCACCTTTCTGTCTTTCCAAATGAGAGTGTACTGTGCAATGAGGAGACACGGGACTCACAGCCCATGGCGATGGTGAGTGTGAGTAGCAAGATCTGTCCACGTTAGGAACAGTCTTCCACAATTACAGCAAGGGATTTTAGGACCGTTGTAGCCATCATTTGTGTTCAGTGTGTTTCTTCTCAGACGCTCAGCTCTCATCCTTTCTTCAATCACTATTTCCTGTACAAAAATGATGCAGCGGTTTTTTGGACAGGAAGCCCCCGCCCCTTCCTCCCACAAGCATAAGACAATCTTAATCAACACAAAGAAATATCTCATGCAAAACATATGCATTCCAACCCTATACTACCAGTACCAGACATGGTCACTCACAACAACCCAGAAAAGAAAATTAGTAACCACAGAAATGAAACATCTGAGAAGGGCTGCAGTTGTGACCAGAAGAGATCAAATCAGGAATGTGGTCATAAGAAAAAAATCTGGCACTGAACCAATTCCAAATAAATACAAAGACAGCAAATCAAATGGTTCGACCATTCAGAGAGAATGCTGTGCGATGCTATATCATACAAGGCATACATTAAAAGAGTAGAAGAACAAACTATGTGAGGTAGGCCAAAAAGAAGAGGGAAAGATAACACCAGAGAAACTCTTTTTATATATTTCTAAACACTGTTAAAATATAGGTCAATACCTTTTTTACAAATCTGTTAGCAGCCTGTGTAACATTGTTTTTCTTTTAAAGTATTATTTCAGAAATATCCAGGGGGGTCATGACCCCCATTATTTTAAGTGTTCTCTGAGGGACAGGGTTAAACATGAAAATTCCCTAAGGCCTTCATCATTTTTGCGAACCCATCAGGTTCCAGTAGACAAGGATACACTGTTTGTGAAAGGCTGAACTGTTTCCATGTTGGATCAATGTAGATGACTTTAAAGATAAATTGAGGAACAATAGGAAGCCTTATATAATATATATGGAGCTTGAAAGGGGGAAATACTTGCAACGGTGACCCTAAGGGAGACAATCTATTGTAAGATAACATTACTGTAAGTAAGGAGTAAGTAAGTTATATCCCACCAGGACATCACACAAGCGATAAACACCCGGTGACACAAAGTGCCACTATGTGAATGAGGATCACCCGTAAGGAGTAAGTAAGTTATATCCCACCAGGACATCACACAAGCGATAAACACCCGGTGACACAAAGTGCCACTATGTGAATGAGGATCACCCGTAAGGAGTAAGTAAGTTATATCCCACCAGGACATCACACAAGCGATAAACACCCGGTGACACAAAGTGCCACTATGTGAATGAGGATCACCCGTAAGGAGTAAGTAAGTTATATCCCACCAGGACATCACACAAGCGATAAACACCCGGTGACACAAAGTGCCACTATGTGAATGAGGATCACCCGTAAGGAGTAAGTAAGTTATATCCCACCAGGACATCACACAAGCGATAAACACCCGGTGACACAAAGTGCCACTATGTGAATGAGGATCACCCGTAAGGAGTAAGTAAGTTATATCCCACCAGGACATCACACAAGCGATAAACACCCGGTGACACAAAGTGCCACTATGTGAATGAGGATCACCCGTAAGGAGTAAGTAAGTTATATCCCACCAGGACATCACACAAGCGATAAACACCCGGTGACACAAAGTGCCACTATGTGGATGAGGATCACCCGTGGAGAGGTCCTGAAAACCCTGTTCAGCCGTTAGACCATATTTTTTTTTTTAAAGTGTTTTATTGTTTGAAACATATTTGACAAATCTCTTTTGAAACAAAAGCAAAATCAATAAGATGATGTAAATAAAATGATGATAATTTGTACCGTTTCTCACTGACATTTTAACAGAAAATAAAGACAGAGGGAGGCAGAGAGGACCGGGCGGTTTGAGGAAAGCTGGGGCTGTTAGATCTGTCAGTGGAAACGGTATTTTTCGATGGTAATGTACAAGTATTTATTCAACGTGGCAAATGATGTTTTTATTAGACTCCATGTCACCAGGCATCTTTGATTGTAGGGAGAGGAGAAGACAGAAAAGGATATGGGGGCGATAGGGGGTGGGGCGGCCGCTCATTGATGCTGGTGACATGTGTTGGTAGGCTAACAAAAGCAGCTATATGATGAGGTGTTAAATGAAAAACATGTGTGGTAAAAAACAATGCATAATATGATTACCAACGAAACAAATTGACAGGAAATAGGACAGCGAGGCAGAAAGGGACAAATTGGGGCTGGACTTGGAAAGAGAGGGACACCACTCGTATGTTTGTTGGCGAGACAACATCAAGAGACGTTTCCCTTGAAAATACATATACGCATTGTTTTTGTTCATTTCATTATATCATACATACATAAATACATACATACATACATACATACATACATACATACATACATACATACATACATACATACATACTTATATATACATATATTTATATCCTACATACATACATTTTATAGCATGTAAAGGGTAGAAACATGGTGATTATGGTGATGGAATATCGGCGATGAGTATGATGATGATTATATTCACATTACATAAATACACAAATGCATTCATAACATGTGAAAAGGCATGGTGATCATGGTGGTGGCATATCGGCGATGAGGATGATATCACTTTTGGGGAAACTCCCAATGCATAATTATATACATAAAAACATTACAAAGTATGAAAAAGGAAAGGAAAAACCATGGTGATTGTGGCGATGGCACATCAGTGATGAGGATGACGTTGTGGCAAGGAAACACTTGTTCCCTGTCCGCCTTAAGGCGAAAAACAAACCAGTATGATGATGATGATGGTGGTGGCATGTCGTCGATGGTGGTGATGATGATTACTGAGCCCTAACATCTAGGGCATCAGGAAAAACACTTTCAATTTTATATTTGAACATCAACATGAACAATTCTTTCGAATAAGTTCTAAATTGGAACTTTGCAAAATTTCTGCAAGTCCAAACAAGGTATCTGTACTGTGCCAGGACCAGAAGGAGTTTGGTGTGCGTGTCCTTGTCAGATTTGGGAATATTGTTGCCAAGGTGGGGCTTCAAAATAATAAAAAAAATTGCATTCTACATGGGGACGACTTGTTCTAAGTGACTACGAACATTACTGTAAGTGACGAACCCAGGGGACATAATCCATTGTTTGAATAAGTTCACATAATACTAAAATTCTTTTGTATTTAATATTGCTTGAGATGCAGGGTTAGAGTTAGGGCTAGCTCTAACCCAACCACCTATCCTAAGCTAAACCATAACCCTAAACCAAATCCTTACCCTAAGCTCAAACATTATTACATATGAAAGAATATTATCATTATGTGAACGTACACAAACAATGGGTTGTCTCCCTTACGGTCACCGTAAACAACCATTAATTACGTCCCCTAGGAGTATCGCTGTTGGAAGGATTTCCGAAGGGATTCAATAAACAAGAACATAGTGACACATTGAATATAACATATTTTAAGCTAGGTCAACATGACTTACTGGACCAATATTAGCATCCGATCAATGGGGATTCAAACATGACCACAAAGTCAGAAAGCAAGCATGCTAACGACTATGCTATCACAGACTCCAGGTCTGGAGATACGTGTTGGAATATTAGCTGCTATGGCAGGACCGACATGGTCGGAAAACAAATGATGGCTCAGCAGTCAGGTGTTACAGTGACTGGTTTGCTTAAAGGAAGTGGAGAAACAAAGGTAATGAGAACTTTACAAACTTGGCTTGTGTACTGCCAAACATATTTTGTTTGGTTCTGGGTACTGACTAGTGACTGTACAATGCAGGCTGGCTGTGGAGGAGATGGGAATATACTGCTGACTTTAGAAAACAAAAAGTGGTGAGTGCTGGAGAGCCACAAGAATGGTCTGTTTTTAAGCTACCCATTACTGAAATCAAATCCTAGTATTTGAGAACTGTAAAATTATCTGTTGAATAAATAATCTACACCACAGCACTTGAGACACTCCCATAATTGCTATGTCCCCATCTTCAGCAGCAAGCAAAGAGTTCCAGTTCCAATGGCACCAGTAGCTGTCTGATTGTATATCTGTTTTATCTTTCCCCTGAGTGTTGAGCGTCAGCCACATCCCATGATAACTCCTCGCAGCACCTTCCTCCTTGGACTGTAATGATCTATCTGTGCATTTGCACTGTTCACACACTCCCAAAGGGTTCTCACAATATCTAACTTGGCCATACATCAGTTCACCACCAAGTGGTGCAAAGCCAGCCAGTCTATCTATCTGCTCACTTCCCAACACACCAGCATTACCTGGAGAAAATATCCAAAGGATGCTTACTATCCGGGAGCTATGAAGTGATGCTTGCCACTCTGCACGAAGCATTCCTGTCTTCACCTTTCTATACATCTATACATGCTTTGTGAGTCAGTTATAATCACGTGTGTACCAGGTGATTCTGAAGCCAGTGGAAGGCTAACCTCTAAAACTGAATTAGACAATAACCAATAAGTGTCTAACTTAGAAAAGCTGTGAATAAAATACAAAGTCATACCTCCAAACTAAAACTCTGCAGGTTTGTGGATGGAAAATTGTGCTTGTAAATGCCATTTACAGTTGTGTTTATATCCACAGCCAGAACAACCTCGTGATCCACACCACATTCTGTTGAGACATAATTGTGTCCACTCTTTTAACAATAATATATCACTGATTTTAGCTCTTTAAATCCCCTCAATTATAATGATTATACTGCAGCATTTTCGGCTCTTCTCTGAACATCTACCCATATTATGGCGGCCAAACAAATACCCTAACAGGGCCTCAGTCCTATGCAGAATGCGGACTTCCTGCCGAGGAACAAATCGCTGCAAAACTAGGATCGGCTCCAATTAACAAAACAAATGGTCTAACAGGTTCTCATCGATATGTTAACTGCGGACCTGTTTCTGTGACTATGCTGCACTGTCGACAGTATCACCCGCACCGCTATGCGCAGCGTGGATGTGGGGCTAAATTAGATGACTGGGACTCACGAGCAGCAGCTACCGCATCTCCTGCAGCTTCCTCCAATTTATTTGCTTGTGAGTTCCAGGCATCTAGTTTAGATACCCATTCACACCGAGCGTAGCGGCACGGGGAAAACGCTCAGCTGTGAGTTTAATCAGAAGAACACTATCGCCTAATCTGCGTCGGAGCGTGTGGTCTCCCCGCCATCTCCATATCATCGTCTGTAATGTTGCGTGTCTCAAAATTGTCAATGGTCGCTATTATCGTCTGAGTGTTGCGTGTCATGACATTGTCAAGTAATCCTAGTTTTACGGCGATGTCCGCATTTTACACACGACTGAGGCCCTGTTAGGGTATTTGTTTGGCCGCCATAATATGGGGTAGAAGTTCGGAGGAGAGCCCACTTTCTATTCTATCCCTAAGTTTGTGTACTAGAAGGGACATGTTTCTTTGGTCTTTAGGAGTGCAAATATAAGATATGAGTTAAAGTAAAAATTGAGATAGATTAGATGGATTAGGATTATTAATTCCTGTAGCAGAAGGAAGAAGCTGGAAGTAGAAATCTTTACTCTTTAGTTCTCTACCACACAATTAGTTGCACATAACACACACAGTTAGTTGCACATGCCACAGTCAGTCGTCAGTTGCACATGCCACAGTCAGTCAGTCGTCAGTTGCACATGCCACAGTCAGTCAGTAGTCAGTTGCACACATGCCACAGTCAGTCAGTAGTCAGTTGCACACATGCCACAGTCAGTCAGCAGTCAGTTGCACATACCACACAGTCAGCTGCACATCATGTCACACACTACTACAGTCAGTTGCACATCAGATCATATCCTGAGGGTTTTCAAACAAAACTCCAGCATTTGGTTTGCTGCTATTTGTGGCTTTACTAGGCAATAATTAATCATAATGTGTTCAGTAGTTAAGTTTGCCTCTGCTTTTTATTTCTGAACATCTTTTTCAACTTGATGCTCGTTCCATACCATCATAATTTATAATAATGAATAATGCACAGGGTAACCAATAGAATTAGAATAGTAATAGTATGATACACGTGCGTGATGATAACCATTTAGTACCCCGTGTGGGTTCCGGGACCCCATTATGGGGAAAACAAGAATAGACCCACTGCCTCCCAAAAAGCATGTCTTAAGAGTCGACTAATTGGGAAGCTTCCTTTGACTTTGAAGTCGGAGTGCATCTGCCGGAGAGGCAAGGAACCAACAGTCTGTATTCAAGAGAATGAGATCTGTAAAACTGATGCACACGCAACACTCAGGTTCTGGAGCAGGACTGCAGTTCAGTAGTGGACGAGCAACCAGAACTTTCCGCCAGAGTGTACTGTAGCTGGTGAACGCGAAGAAGAAGATAACCATTTAGTGAGGTTCCTAAGAGTTTTGAGTCATATCCCTTTTTGGCAAAAGGATTATGGATTATGATTAACAACAGAAGTAGAACTCATCATCATCATGGCTCGCCATGACATTTCACAAAAGAGAATAACAGATTGGTTCTTGACTTGACCTTAATTTAATTAATGATAATTAATTATTTTATTAATCACTTCATGTATTGTAAGCAACTACAATCAAACAGTACACAACAAACCTTTTAACGCCCAGTGCATGCCACCAATTCCACTATATAGTTCCAGAACAGATAGTTTTGGTCGCATTTTGAATTAAGAAGCAAATAAATGCTGTATAAAAAAAAGTATTTTGTTTACGTTCCAGATTGCAACAATCGCAATATTTTTATTATTACACTAAATTACCAAAAATCAGAAGATGCAATAGACATGTGCAGCTCTTCTTCTTCATAAGGGTAAAAAAACTACCATTGTAAATAATTTTCTTACTTTCGATTTCAGTAAAATATATGCATTCAAAATTCTGACGTAGAAAACATTAAATAAATAGAACTAGGCTATAAAAACGAAAAAGAAAATGTGAAATGTATTCATGTAAATTTGTTGTATACACTTGGAAGAATAGTTTATTGAATTTTAATATTGAATTAACCCATGTTCTTATATCTTCCCAAGTGGTCTAGTGGCTAGGATTCCGCGCTCTCACCGCGGCGGCCGGGGTTCGATTCCCCGCTTGGGAAATGATTTTTTCCCTGCTTTTATTTATGTTATCGTTAAATTATCTCCAGATGTGCTCTATCTCCCCTGTTGACACTCAAGCAGATACCTCGGAGTACTAAAGTAAATCTTATCAGAACAATTTTTTGGCATACACTATGCTATCAATGCCAAACGTGGACACTTAATTCTCCAATGAACGTAAAATTGTGACAACAGAGATGAAATGCCTTAGAAGAGCTGCAGGAGTTTCAAGGAAAGACAGAATACGAAATCATGAAATCAGATGAATGCTAGGAATAAAGCCAGTCTTACAGGTCATCAGAGAACCACAAATGAAGTGGTTTGGACACCTAACAAGAATGCCCTGGTACTATCTACCACAGAGAGCCACACTAAAACGTTACAACGGGTATAGAGCGAGTGGAAGACCGCGGAAAACATGGAGTGATGGCATTAAGAACAGCCTTACAGAAATGACCATCAGTCTTAATAGTGCTCTTGACAGAGATCATCAACGAACATTACATCTCCCCCCGACACTTCGATGAGGTAAAAGGTGGAAGAGAAGAAGAAGAAGATTTATGTTTATTGTGAAAAAGTGATTAGTGATTCGAAAGGATTATCATCACTCCCTTTCTCTCCTCTGTTTATCACACAACATACCCACTCACTCACTGACTATCGCTAGAGAAGGTTCACTCCCTTTTCCTCCTCTATTTATTACACAACATACCCACTCACTCACTGACTATCGCTAGAGAAGGTTCACTCCCTTTTCCTCCTCTATTTATCACACAACATACCCACTCACTCACTGACTATCGCTAGAGAAGGTTCACTCCCTTTTCCTCCTCTATTTATTACACAACATACCCACTCACTCACTGACTATCGCTAGAGAAGGTTCACTCCCTTTTCCTCCTCTATTTATTACACAACATACCCACTCACTCACTGACTATCGCTAGAGAAGGTTCACTCCCTTTTCCTCCTCTATTTATTACACAACATACCCACTCACTCACTGACTATCGCTAGAGAAGGTTCACTCCCTTTTCCTCCTCTATTTATTACACAACATACCCACTCACTCACTGACTATCGCTAGAGAAGGTTCACTCCCTTTTCCTCCTCTATTTATTACACAACATACCCACTCACTCACTGACTATCGCTAGAGAAGGTTCACTCCCTTTTCCTCCTCTATTTATTACACAACATACCCACTCACTTCTTCTTCTTCTTCTGCGTTCGACACCATTCATGCTAGACATTGAGTCCCGTCTGGGCCAGATCCACAGTCTTTGCTGGGAGAGGTTAGGGCAACCCACTCACTGACTCTCACTAGAGAAGCTTCACTCCCTATCTCCCCTCTATTTACACCACAACATACCACACCCACTTATTGACTATCGCTTGAGAAGGTTCACCCATTTCTCTCCTCTGTTTATCACACAACATACCCACTCACTCACTGATTATCACTGGAGAAGGTTCACTTCCTATCTTCCCTCTATTTACCCCACAACATACCACACCCACTCACTGACTATCGCTAGAGAGGGTTCACTCCCTTTCTTCTCTCTATTTACCCCACAACATACCACACCCACTCACTGACTCTCTCTAGAGAAGGTTCACTCCCTATCTTCCCTCTATTTACCCTACAACATACCACACCCACTCACTGACTCTCACTAGAGAAGGTTCACTCCCTATCTTCCCTCTATTTACCCTACAACATACCACACCCACTCACTGACTGACGCTTGAGATCACATGTTGCTGATGCTGCCCTGTACCTGTAATTGTAAAACTAGGAACGACGGAAGACGCGAACGAAATATGGTGACAACCACAGATAGTCGGGAAAGGAAACTTACGTTTTCATTATAATTATAAAGTAAGCTTGTTGCTTTTAAGAGTTTTTTCTGACTATACTAAAACTGGTCTTTGCTTTTAAAAGTTATTTGTCATGCTTATTTGATTAACCACTACTGGTATACACTCTTAGCTACAACTAGGAGTAAAAGTACACGATCTGTGATCATTGTAATAGTTAGTAATATATTAATAAGTAACAGAAAATGTATTGATCGGCACTCATAGAAAGAAGTAGAAAGATAGTAGTTGTAGAACACACTAGATAACATAAAAATCTAAAGCTATAGTTACCGTGCCTGGAATGTATGTAGCTCATGTTTAAATAGAGAATGACATGGATTTATGTAACTCATGTTTAACTAAATAGGAACTCTGTTTCTTTATTTCTTTGAAAACAATCTGTTGAGTCCCAGTGTATGACTTGTCCACAGATTCTGCATTATACATTAAAGATGAAGTTGCTACTTCCATCTCTGTTGTTATGTCTGCTGTCTGGACCTCTGTGTGCAGAGCATGCAACTGATGACTGCCCCTGTTTGAATAAAAGAGACTGTGACCCTCCGGTTAAAGACTTAGGACATAGGAAAGAGGTTTGTTTTGTAATCCAGATACCAAAAAAAAAAAAAAAAACCCAAACAAGGGCGAAATATGATGTTCCTTGACACAAAATATTGCTTGCTGTTGTCTGTATTTGAGTTATCTTGAAGGACAGACCCTGGCCTAGATCAGAATTTGCCAGCAAGTAGGAAGTTGACAGTCTGTTTTTCTCCTTTGAGATGCTACCTTGGCCCAAAAGTCACATTCTGGTTGCAGTCTAAAAGGGCAAATATCAGATACCCGGTTCAACCTCATTAGAGGGACATCTGTAACAGCAACACTAAGTACTACTGCACTGGTGTGTCCTGCTGTCCAGAGTGAGTAACAGTTGTAGCAAGTGTTCATGTTGAATAGAGATCTAAGACCACTTGGCATACTCTGTACACACATTCTTTGACCAGCCAATCAGATGGTGAGGATGTTAATTTATAAGTTACTGTAGTTTTAATGTAGATGTCAAAGTCACGACTCTCTCACAGAGTTGCTGTGAGATGTTGTAATCCAGTCTTCATCCAGTTTCTGACAGCAGCAGTTCTTCAACTATACCTGTGTCCATCCTTCTTACAGTCACATGATGTCTCTTCCTTTGCTTACCACTTGCTGAATAAATATCGATGTCCTAATCATGTCACAGTTGACACGTAAGGCATTTACAAGTAATTTTCTTTGCTGCCAGGCTGCTATTTTTCTGCATGTGGTATTCTATGTCATTTTACATTCTTTTATTATCCTTTCTACTGTCCCTCCTCGGGTTTCCTAGGTCATCTACATCTCCTTTACCATCTGCCATCCATCAAAGAGCTTTCCTTGCCAAAGTGTCACAAAACATTCTATAAATATGTCTGAGCCATCTTCTCCCTTTTATAATGTTTGCCAGTGATGAACATTTTGTTTTTCTCCGCAGCTCTTCATTTTTTCTCTTATCTGGCCAAATTATTTGCAGGATTCTCCTTAGACCTTTATTTGGAAAAGTCTGTAATTTGTCCGTAATTTCTGCTGCTGCTGTCAATGTCCAACAGTCACTTTTGTATAGCGGTATTCCTAAAACTACTTTAGTATACCATTTTCTGACTAAGTCTCTATACCAAGTGAGGCATCATGTGTGTTTTTGCAGGTCTCCATATGATATAGTTGTCTAGCTCCTTTTACCTAATTCTGCCTGTTACATTAACCCCTTCTACTCTAAATGTTTTTTCCCTTCTTCTATTAATAGAGTTTAGTTTGTTTAAGCTTCTTTAGTCTCACCATTAAAGAGTATAAACTGATAATTGTCTTGAAAAAGGTAAATTAAATTCACCACAGTTTGATACTGAAAGAGTTCAATATTTAATTTTCCAGACACTTATGTAGTGAATTTGGAACAGTTACGATTGGTCTTTCCTATACTTATACATTTTCCTAATTATGGCTTGTTACTGTAGTAATGAACTCGGCCAGTCTTAGTTCAAGGAAGCTGAAGAAATCAGACATATGGTTCCTGCACTTGAGGTGAAGGGGACACAGTATCACAAACAGGCACTGAAATGTGAAACTGATGGATTAAAGAAGTGTAGACATCCAAGAGAAACTATACAATAAATGTTGATGAGCGAGGCTACAGGTATTGGATAGGATTGCATATATGATATCGAAAGAGTACCACAGGATAGAATAAATTAAAGCTCTAGTGTTGTATAAATACCACAACAAGATGATGATGATGATGATGTTAGTTATGAATTGAACTATTTCTATCTAAGGTATTTCTTCTCTATACTCTAAATTGTACTGTACCAGTGACCCTTTAAACTCTGGCCCAAGTAACTTATTGCAGTAGCTGCTTCTGATGCACATACAAACTATTTTAAAACAAATTCTACCTGATACAGAAGTTAAGTTTTAATGACAAACGATTGACTTCCACAGGTGTTTGCCTTCAGTGATGGCTCAACTGATGTGGAAGCATGGACTTGGGAATCCATCACTAGCCTTATTGTTCCTTCCAGCTTCAATATTAGTAGCAAAGAAGAGGCCAACACAATGTGCATAACTCACAACAAGGGAAGGAAGTTTGGCATAACAGGTAAGCAGAACTGGCATGAAACAGCTTCTGATGTGTAGTGCTGGTAGTCTCTAGGGCTCAGTCTCCAGCAGGGGTACATTGATATTATTTCCTTCCAGTGAAGGGGGCACGTAGATGTTCATCTCTTTTATTTAGTGTTCACCAGCTGTTAACTCCGGCGGAAAGTTCTGGCTGTTTATCCACTCCTGAACTTTGGTCTGGATGTACATCTTGAGTTTTGCATGCACATCTGTTTTACAGATCTGGCTTATTTGTATACAGACTGTTGGTTCCCTGCCTCTGAGGCAGATGCACTCTGACTTTGAAAGAAACACCTCTTAGTTGCCTCCTACGATATGCTTGTTTGGGGGATTGGGAGGGGAGGAGTGAGTCTGTTTTTGTTCTGGTAAATGGAGCCCTGGATCCCAAACAGAGGAACATTTCTGGTCTCTGTAGCTAACAGTCTGTGAAGACATAACTTTTTTGGTCTCTGTAGCTAACAGTCTATGAAGACATAACATTTCTGGTCTCTGTAGCTAACAGTCTGTGAAGACATAACTTTTTTGGTCTCTGTAGCTAACAGTCTGTGAAGACATAATTTTTTTGGTCTCTGTAGCTGACTGTCTGTGAAGACATAACTTTTTTGGTCTCTGTAGCTAACAGTCTGTGAAGACATAACTTTTTTGGTCTCTGTAGCTAACAGTCTGTGAAGACATAACTTTTTTGGTCTCTGTAGCTGACTGTCTGTGAAGACATAACTTTTCTGGTCTCTGTAGCTGACAGTCTGTGAAGACATAACTTTTTTGGTCTCTGTAGCTAACAGTCTGTGAAGACATAACTTTTTTGGTCTCTGTAGCTAACAGTCTGTGAAGACATAACATTTGTGGTCTCTGTAGCTGACTGTCTGTGAAGACATAACATTTCTGGTCTCTGTAGCTGACTGTCTGTGAAGACATAACATTTCAGATCTCTGTACCTCACATTCTGTGAAGACATACCATTTCTGGTCTCTGTACCTCACAGTCTGTGTAGACATAACATTTCTGGTCTCTGTAGCTCAAAGTCTGTAAAGACATAACATTTCAGGTCTCTGTACCTCACAGCCTGTGAAGAAATAACATTTCAGGTCTCTTTAGCTGACAGTCTGTGAAGACATAACATTTCTATTCTCTGTACCTCCAAGTGTGTGAAGACAACATTTTACACTCCCACAGTGACATTACATGAGACATCTTTGCCTCGGAACAGAGATTAGGAACAGCTTTTCAAACGAAAATGGGGGTAATTATCATTAATTGACTGTAGTAAAGCAGGAATGTTGTTCTGCGTTAAGTTTATTGTAGTTTAAGACAATACATTGCATATAGTAGGTAATCAGATTGTTAATTTATTGAAATCATCAAAAGATCTACGCCCAGAAAATAGCTCTATTGACAATAAGATGCTGTACCACAATCACAAACCAATAGAAGAAGAGTTGAGCAAGGAAACTAAAGTATGATATGGCAGCAGCTTTCTGTTTCAGTCTTTGTTTGAGTATCAGTGTGTCCCTGTGACGGTTCCGGGCCCTATTATAGGGAAAACAAGAATAGACCCACTGCCTACCTAAAAGCATGTTGTAAGAGTCGACTAATTGGGAGCTTCCTTCGAAGTCGGAGTACATCTGCCTGAGAGGCAAGGAACCAACAGTCTGCATACAAATGATAAGATTTGTCAAACGGATGCACACGCAACATTCAGGTTCTGGAATAGGACTGCAGTCTAGAAGTGGACGAACAGCTAGAACTTTTCACCAGAGTTTACAGCTGGTGAACGGGAAGAAGAAGAAGAAGAAGTATTAGTGTCAGAGCATTATCGACATAGCTTCTATAAAGATCCTATCTAGGAGATGTAGGAGTGTGAGGGAATGAAGGAGTGGATTTTTGGGCTGCAAAACCTACAGCTACAGGAACACTTGTACTGGACAAAGGAGACATTTTGAAGACCATTTAGGAATGGATGCTGATAGAAGACACGAGGTTAGATGAAATTATGTGTGCAAAAAGGAGTGAACATGGAATTAGGGATGGATCTGGCAAGGAAGGATGTACGAGAGGAAGAGAACATGTGCTACAGAAACAGTTAGTATCTAAATCTTAAAACATTTGCTGTGGGAGACAGAGCATCTTTGGGTATGCCCAATGTGCTATTGTGTCGATTTTTAAATCAGTAATCAGTCTTTGCTCACAGACAAAAGGAGTCCAAGTGAAATTGTTTTCAAACTCCTAGTGGAGTTGATGCTGTTGGATAACTTTGATTTATGCAAATCACTCTTCATATTTTAAATTTAGCTAGCTTCTTAAACCAGATAGACGCACGTGACAATATTTCTCTTAGCCTGATTAGACATGTACTTAGTTGTTCTGCCATAATTAGTTACATGCATGTTTGTGTGGTTTCAGTGGAGATGGATTTCTCAGGACATGTAAATCATACTTCAGAAAAAGCTGTGGAGTGGGTGCAATTTGTTGCCCAGCAACAGAAGCAATGGCATGCAGAAATCATCGCTGTCAACTTGGTTCCTTATTTTTCCCAGGATGCAAATAGCTTCTGGCATGACCATGTTGCATTAATAAAAATGTTGGTTGCCATGAAGGCAAAAATAGCAAAAGTGACAGATATAATCAAGGTTTGTACTGATGACTTCTTCAAATTATATTAAGTGAAGTAATTGTCACTGTAGATGTTTGATTCATAAACTGTATCTATTATTCTGCAGTCAGGTTATTCACTCTAAACAGTCCTGCACCAAAACATGGGAAATAAGGCAGAAGAACCTTGCACCAAACATGAGAAAAAAGGCAGAAGAATCCTGCACCAAACATGAGAAAAAAGGCAGAATAATCCTTCACCAAACATGGGAAGTAAGACAGAAGAATCCTGCATTAAACATGGGAAGTAAGACAGAAGAATCCTTCACCAAACATGGGAAGTAAGGCAGAAGAATCCTGCATTAAACATGGGAAGTAAGGCAGAAGAATCCTGCATTAAACATGGGAAGTAAGACAGAAGAATCCTGCATTAAACATGGGAAGTAAGACAGAAGAATCCTGCATTAAACATGGGAAGTAAGGCAGAAGAATCCTGCATTAAATATGGGAAGTAAGACAGAAGAATCCTGCAATAAACATGGGAAGTAAGGCAGAAGAATCCTGCATTAAACATGGGAAGTAAGGCAGAAGAATCCTGCATTAAACATGGGAAGTAAGACAGAAGAATCCTGCATTAAACATGGGAAGTAAGACAGAAGAATCCTGCATTAAACATGGGAAGTAAGACAGAAGAATCCTGCATTAAACATGGGAAGTAAGACAGAAGAATCCTGCATTAAACATGGGAAGTAAGACAGAAGAATCCTGCATTAAACATGGGAAGTAAGACAGAAGAATCCTGCATTAAACATGGGAAGTAAGACAGAAGAATCCTGCATTAAACATGGGAAGTAAGACAGAAGAATCCTGCATTAAACATGGGAAGTAAGACAGAAGAATCCTGCATTAAACATGGGAAGTAAGACAGAAGAATCCTGCATTAAACATGGGAAGTAAGACAGACGAATCCTGCATTAAACATGGGAAGTCAGACAGAAGAATCCTGCATTAAACATGGGAAGTCAGACAGAAGAATCCTGCATTAAACATGGGAAGTAAGACAGAAGAATCCTGCATTAAACATGGGAAGTAAGACAGAAGAATCCTGCATTAAACATGGGAAGTAAGACAGAAGAATCCTGCATTAAACATGGAAAGTAAGACAGAAGAATCCTGCATTAAACATGGGAAGTAAGACAGAAGAATCCTGCATTAAACATGGGAAGTAAGACAGAAGAATCCTGCATTAAACATGGGAAGTAAGACAGAAGAATCCTGCATTAAACATGGGAAGTAAGACAGAAGAATCCTGCATTAAACATGGGAAGTGGGAAGTAAGAAGACAGAAGAATCCTGCATTAAACATGGGAAGTAAGACAGAAGAATCCTGCATTAAACATGGGAAGTAAGACAGAAGAATCCTGCATTAAACATGGGAAGTAAGACAGAAGAATCCTGCATTAAACATGGGAGTAAGACAGAAGAATCCTGCATTAAACATGGGAAGTAAGACAGAAGAATCCTGCATTAAACATGGGAAGTAAGACAGAAGAATCCTGCATTAAACATGGGAAGTAAGACAGAAGAATCCTGCATTAAACATGGGAAGTAAGACAGAAGAATCCTGCATTAAACATGGGAAGTAAGAAGTAAAACATGACAGACAGAAGATCCTGCATTAAACATGGGAAGTAAGACAGAAGAATCCTGCATTAAACATGGGAAGTAAGACAGAAGAATCCTGCATTAAACATGGGAAGTAAAACAGAAGAATCCTGCATTAAACATGGGAAGTGAGACAGAAGAATCCTGCATTAAACATGGGAAGTAAGACAGAAGAATCCTGCATTAAACATGGGAAGTGAGACAGAAGAATCCTGCATTAAACATGGGAAGTAAGACAGAAGAATCCTGCATTAAACATGGGAAGTAAGACAGAAGAATCCTGCATTAAACATGGGAAAGTAAACAGAAGGCATTAAACATGGGAAGTAAGACAGAAGAATCCTGCATTAAACATGGGAAGTAGACAGAAGAATCCTGCATTAAACATGGGAAGTAAAGACAGAAGAATCCTGCATTAAACATGGAAAGTAAGACAGAAGAATCCTGCATTAAACATGGGAAGTAAGACAGAAGAATCCTGCATTAAACATGGAAGTAAGACAGAAGAATCCTGCATTAAACATGGGAAGTAAGACAGAAGAATCCTGCATTAAACATGGGAAGTAAGACAGAAGAATCCTGCATTAAACATGGGAAGTAAGACAGAAGAATCCTGCATTAAACATGGGAAGTAAGACAGAAGAATCCTGCATTAAACATGGAAAGTAAGACAGAAGAATGTTGCATTAAACATGGAAAGTAAGACAGAAGAATCCTGCATTAAACATGGGAAGTAAGACAGAAGAATCCTGCATTAAACATGGGAAGTAAGACAGAAGAATGTTGCATTAAACATGGGAAGTAAGACAGAAGAATCCTGCATTAAACATGGGAAGTAAGACAGAAGAATCCTGCATTAAACATGGGAAGTAAGACAGAAGAATCAGAAGAATCCCTGCATTAAACATGGGAAGTAAGACAGAAGAATCCTGCATTAAACATGGGAAGTAAGACAGAAGAATCCTGCATTAAACATGGGAAGTAAGACAGAAGAATCCTGCATTAAACATGGGAAGTAAGACAGAAGAATCCTGCATTAAACATGGGAAGTAAGACAGAAGAATCCTGCATTAAACATGGGAAGTAAGACAGAAGAATCCTGCATTAAACATGGGAAGTAAGACAGTAAGACATTAAACATGGGAAGTAAGACAGAAGAATCCTGCATTAAACATGGGAAGTAAGACAGAAGAATCCTGCATTAAACATGGGAAGTAAGACAGAAGAATCCTGCATTAAACATGGGAAGTAAGACAGAAGAATCCTGCATTAAACATGGGAAGTAAGACAGAAGAATCCTGCATTAAACATGGGAAGTAAGACAGAAGAATCCTGCATTAAACATGGGAAGTAAGACAGAAGAATCCTGCATTAAACATGGGAAGTAAGACAGAAGAATCCTGCATTAAACATGGGAAGTAAGACAGAAGAATCCTGATTATCCTGCATTAAACATGGGAAGTAAGACAGAAGAATCCTGCATTAAACATGGGAAGTAAGACAGAAGAATCCTGCATTAAACATGGGAAGTAAGACAGAAGAATCCTGCATTAAACATGGGAAGTAAGACAGAAGAATCCTGCATTAAACATGGGAAGTAAGACAGAAGAATCCTGCATTAAACATGGGAAGTAAGACAGAAGAATCCTGCATTAAACATGGGAAGTAAGACAGAAGAATCCTGCATTAAACATGGGAAGTAAGACAGAAGAATCCTGCATTAAACATGGGAAGTAAGACAGAAGAATCCTGCATTAAACATGGGAAGTAAGACAGAAGAATCCTGCATTAAACATGGGAAGTAAGACAGAAGAATCCTGCATCCTGCATTAAACATGGGAAGTAAGACAGAAGAATCCTGCATTAAACATGGAAAGTAAGACAGAAGAATCCTGCATTAAACATGGAAAGTAAGACAGAAGAATCCATTAAACATGGGAAGTAAGACAGAAGAATCCTGCATTAAACATGGGAAGTAAGACAGAAGAATCCTGCATTAAACATGGAAAGTAAGACAGAAGAATCCTGCATTAAACATGGGAAGTAAGACAGAAGAATCCTGCATTAAACATGGGAAGTAAGACAGAAGAATCCTGCATTAAACATGGAAAGTAAGACAGAAGAATCCTGCATTAAACATGGGAAGTAAGACAGAAGAATCCTGCATTAAACATGGGAAGTAAGACAGAAGAATCCTGCATTAAACATGGGAAGTAAGACAGAAGAATGTTGCATTAAACATGGAAAGTAAGACAGAAGAATCCTGCATTAAACATGGAAAGTAAGACAGAAGTAAACATGGGACAGTAAGACAGAAGAATGCATTAAACATGGGAAGTAAGACAGAAGAATCCTGCATTAAACATGGGAAGTAAGACAGAAGAATGTTGCATTAAACATGGGAAGTAAGACAGAAGAATCCTGCATTAAACATGGGAAGTAAGACAGAAGAATCCTGCATTAAACATGGGAAGTAAGACAGAAGAACAGAAGAATGCATTAAACATGGAAGTAAGACAGAAGAATCCTGCATTAAACATGGGAAGTAAGACAGAAGAATCCTGCATTAAACATGGGAAGTAAGACAGAAGAATCCTGCATTAAACATGGGAAGTAAGACAGAAGAATCCTGCATTAAACATGGGAAGTAAGACAGAAGAATCCTGCATTAAACATGGGAAGTAAGACAGACGAATCCTGCATTAAACATGGGAAGTCAGACAGAAGAATCCTGCATTAAACATGGGAAGTCAGACAGAAGAATCCTGCATTAAACATGGGAAGTAAGACAGAAGAATCCTGCATTAAACATGGGAAGTGAGACAGACGAATCCTGCATTAAACATGGGAAGTGAGACAGAAGAATCCTGCATTAAACATGGGAAGTAAAACAGAAGAATCCTGCATTAAACATGGGAAGTAAGACAGAAGAATCCTGCATTAAACATGGGAAGTAAGACAGAAGAATCCTGCATTAAACATGGAAAGTAAGACAGAAGAATCCTGCATTAAACATGGGAAGTAAGACAGAAGAATCCTGCATTAAACATGGGAAGTAAGACAGAAGAATCCTGCATTAAACATGGGAAGTAAGACAGAAGAATCCTGCATTAAACATGGGAAGTAAGACAGAAGAATCCTGCATTAAACATGGGAAGTAAGACAGAAGAATCCTGCATTAAACATGGGAAGTAAGACAGAAGAATCCTGCATTAAACATGGGAAGTAAGACAGAAGAATCCTGCATTAAACATGGGAAGTAAGACAGAAGAATCCTGCATTAAACATGGGAAGTAAGACAGAAGAATCCTGCATTAAACATGGGAAGTAAGACAGAAGAATCCTGCATTAAACATGGGAAGTAAGACAGAAGAATCCTGCATTAAACATGGGAAGTAAGACAGAAGAATCCTGCATTAAACATGGGAAGTAAGACAGAAGAATCCTGCATTAAACATGGGAAGTAAGACAGAAGAATCCTGCATTAAACATGGGAAGTAAGACAGAAGAATCCTGCATTAAACATGGGAAGTAAGACAGAAGAATCCTGCATTAAACATGGGAAGTAAGACAGAAGAATCCTGCATTAAACATGGGAAGTAAGACAGAAGAATCCTGCATTAAACATGGGAAGTAAGACAGAAGAATCCTGCATTAAACATGGATGGAAGAATCCTGCAAAACATGTAAGACAGAAGAATCCTGCATTAAACATGGGAAGTAAGACAGAAGAATCCTGCATTAAACATGGGAAGTAAGACAGAAGAATCCTGCATTAAACATGGGAAGTAAGACAGAAGAATCCTGCATTAAACATGGGAAGTAAGACAAGAAGAATCCTGCATTAAACATGGGAAGTAAGACAGAAGAATCCTGCATTAAACATGGAACAAGACAGAAGAATCCTGCATTAAACATGGGAAGTAAGACAGAAGAATCCTGCATTAAACATGGGAAAGTAAGACAGACAGATTAGGGAATCCTGCATTAAACATGGGAAGTAAGACAGAAGAATCCTGCATTAAACATAAGAATGGAAGTGGAAGTACAGAAGAATCCTGCATTAAACATGGAAAGTAAGACAGAAGAATGTTGCATTAAACATGGGAAGTAAGACAGAAGAATCCTGCATTAAACATGGGAAGTAAGACAGAAGAATGTTGCATTAAACATGGAAAGTAAGACAGAAGAATGTTGCATTAAACATGGGAAGTAAGACAGAAGAATGTTGCATTAAACATGGGAAGTAAGACAGAAGAATCCTGCATTAAACATGGAAAGTAAGACAGAAGAATGTTGCATTAAACATGGGAAGTAAGACAGAAGAATCCTGCATTAAACATGGGATGTAAGACAGAAGAATGTTGCATTAAACATGGGAAGTAAGACAGAAGAATCCTGCATTAAACATGGGAAGTAAGACAGAAGAATGTTGCATTAAACATGGGAAGTAAGACAGAAGAATCCTGCATTAAACATGGGAAGTAAGACAGAAGAATCCTGCATTAAACATGGGAAGTAAGACAGAAGAATCCTGCATTAAACATGGGAAGTAAGACAGAAGAATCCTGCATTAAACATGGGAAGTAAGACAGAAGAATCCTGCATTAAACATGGGAAGTAAGACAGAAGAATCCTGCATTAAAACATGGGAAGTAAGACAGAAGAATCCTGCATTAAACATGGGAAGTAAGACAGAAGAATCCTGCATTAAACATGGGAAGTAAGACAGAAGAATCCTGCATTAAACATGGGAAGTAAGACAGAAGAATGGGAAGTAAGACAGAAGAATCCTGCATTAAACATGGGAAGTAAGACAGAAGAATGTTGCATTAAACATGGGAAGTAAGACAGAAGAATCCTGCATTAAACATGGGAAGTAAGACAGAAGAATCCTGCATTAAACATGGGAAGTAAGACAGAAGAATCCTGCATTAAACATGGGAAGTAAGACAGAAGAATCCATGCATGGGAAGTTATTAAACATGGGAAGTAAGACAGAAGAATCCTGCATTAAACATGGGAAGTAAGACAGAAGAATCCTGCATTAAACATGGGAAGTAAGACAGAAGAATCCTGCATTAAACATGGGAAGTAAGACAGAAGAATCCTGCATTAAACATGGGAAGTAAGACAGAAGAATCCTGCATTAAACATGGGAAAGTAAGAATCCTGCACCAAACATGGGAAGTAAGACAGAAGAATCCTGCATTAAACATGGGAAGTAAGACAGAAGAATCCTGCATTAAACATGGGAAGTAACACATAAGATTCCTTCACCAAACATGGGAAGTAACACATAAGATTCCTTCACCAAACATGAATTCAGTATAAAATTTCAAAACTGGCTCTGTTCTTGTGGATAGCATTCTGATGTTTTTAATTTCATTGATGACATTGTCCTGTTTATTCATTCAAATCACTTGTTACTTAAACTAATACACTTGAAGTCTAACATATAATAACTCTCATTAGACAGAAAGAGTTATGGTAACACTTAGGACAGACTGACAGGATGTAACAGATGAATGAGGAACAAAGAGTTAAGAAGACTGTACCATTTACAGTATTACCGGTAAATTTATGGTTGATTTGGTTGATAATGGATGAGGTAAGAAAAGGGATGTTTCTGATATTACTATTACGCTTGATTACTAGAATGAAAGTGAATGACAGTGTCAAGAATGGCACTGTAGGTCTTGAACCCTTCTGGCATATAATTCAGACAAGTTGTCCATTTTGGCAGTATGAGAATGTTTACTTGGACTACAAACAAACTGTTGGTACAACATATCACTTTACAGGAAACACACTAACAACTTGAGATGATACTTCAACTGTTGTATTTAGCCTTCATTGATCACAACAAGAACAATGGAGCACTTGTGAGAATAAAAGAAGTAACTGGCGTTCTCTGAGTTTACTCTGTCTCATTCTGAAGATTTCTGGTCTGTGCATTTCTGCCAAGCCTGTTGATACTGTCATGCTCTGTTCTGTTGCTGGTGGTTTTCATCTCTCCAGTTTGTCTTCATGGATTGCTTTAAGAGCATCTGTGCCTCTTTAAAGCTCTGAGGTGGAATGGGCTGCATGAGGTTCCATGCAACATTAGCAGGCTCACCAATCATTTCTAGGGATACAATAGGGGCCTGCTATCCATTGCATAACTAGCCCTGTTCTTGTGGATAGCATTCTGATGTTGTTTTTAATTTCATGGATGACATTTATCTGTCTGGAGCATGAGATGCTTAGAAGTAGATTGTTAAGAGAGTTGTAAATTGTCATCATGGGAGAGCGACAAAGAGTGCTGGAAGATCATTATGACCCAGATCAGGGCTATTCAACTGGCGGCCCACGGGCTAAATCTGTTCCTTGGAGGCCTAGCAAGTGGCCCACGGATCATTGCCAGTTGTACTGTATTAATGATTTTTCTATGCTAAGGTTAAGCCCGTGACGATCCTCACTTTCCAAATTTTGGCCCCTCGGTAAACTTAGTTGAAAAGCCCTGACCTAGATTGTAAAGACGGCAGCCGTTTGACCAAAGATTTTCTTCGTATATAAGAACATTGAAGCATTGAAATATGATAGCGTTTCTCTGTGTAATAATTATGTTTGCATGCTACATTCCAGATGGTCAGTTTCTAGGATGACAGATGTACACCCAGATATTTTCTCCCTATCTTATTGCATGGTCCATACCTGTCATTTTTTCTTTTGTATGAATTTCACTCATGTTGTAGTTGACTCTGTGGGATCTCTACTTGCAGGTTGCTTGCATTGTGTCATGGAAACCACCCTGTGCTGAGAAGGATAACTCCTGTGACTTCACTGAGTTGTCAACAGATGTTTGTGACTTTTACATTCTAAATCCAGACAGTTTTACAGATTTAGATGAGGAGAAGTGTAGAGCCAGGCCAAACATTCCACTCACTAAACTTCTGTATGGTATGTTTCCTTGTCATTGTGACTACTGTATGTCCTGTTTCTTGTCATTCTTGTCACTGTATATGTTTTCTTGTCATTGAGGCTACTGTATGTCCTGTTTCTTGTCATACATGTCACTGTATGATATGTTTTCTTGTCATTGAGACTACTGTATGTCCTGTTTCTTGTCATTCTTGTCACTCTATGATATGTTTTCTTGTCATTGAGGCTACTGTATGTCCTGTTTCTTGTCATTCATGTCACTGTATGATATTTTTTCTTGTCATTGAGACTACTGTATGTCCTGTTTCTTGTCATTCATGTCACTGTATGATTTGTTTTCTTGTCATTGAGGCTACTGTATGTCCTGTTTCTTGTCATTCTTGTCACTCTATGATATGTTTTCTTGTCATTGAGGCTACTGTATGTCCTTTTTCTCGTCATTCTTGTCACTCTAAGATATGTTTCCTTGTCATTGAGACTACTGTATGTTCTTGTCATTCTTGTCACTCTATGATATGTTTCCTTGACATTGAGACTACTGTATGTCCCGTTTCTCGTCATTCTTGTCACTCTGTGGTATGTTTTCTTGTCATTGAGGCTACTGTATGTCCCGTTTCTTGTCATTCTTGTCACTGTATGATATGTTTTCTTGTCATTGAGACTACTGTATGTCCCGTTTCTTGTCATTCTTGTCACTGTATGTCCCGTTTCTTGTCATTCTTGTCACTGTATGATGTTTCCTTGTCATTGAGACTACTGTATGTCCTGTTTCTTGTCATTCTTGTCACTCTGATATGTTTCCTTGTCATTGAGGCTACTGTATGTCCCGTTTCTTGTCATTCTTGTCACTGTATGATGTTTCCTTGTCATTGAGACTACTGTATGTCCTGTTTCTTGTCATTCTTGTCACTCTATGATATGTTTCCTTGTCATTGAGGCTACTGTATGTCCTGTTTCTTGTCATTCTTGTCACTGTAAGATGTTTCCTTGTCATTGAGACTACTGTATGTCCTGTTTCTTGTCATTCTTGTCACTCTATGATATGTTTTCTTGTCATTGAGACTACTGTATGTCCTGTTTCTTGTCATTCTTGTCACTCTGATATGTTTCCTTGTCATTGAGACTACTGTATGTCCTGTTTTTTGTCATTCTTGTCACTCTACAATATGTTTTCTTGTCATTGAGACTACTGTATGTCCTGTTTCTTGTCATTCTTGTCACTCTATGATATGTTTTCTTGTCATTGAGGCTACTGTATGTCCTGTTTCTTGTCATTCTTGTCACTCTATGATATGTTTTCTTGTCATTGAGACTACTGTATGTCCTGTTTCTTGTCATTCTTGTAACTCTATGATATGTTTTCTTGTCATTGAGGCTACTGTATGTCCTGTTTCTTGTCATTCTTGTCACTGTATGTCCTGTTTTTTGTCATTCATGTCACTGTATGGTATGTTTTCTTGTCATTCATGTCACTCTGTGGTATGTTTTCTTGTCATTGAGACTACTGTATGTCCTGCTTCTTGTCACATCGTTTATGTGAAGGCTCAACACTTCACTTGTCAATGCTCTTTTCTCCTATGGAACAACCTTTACCCAGCTGTAGCATCAGTATCATTGTTTTTTCTTTTTTAAATTATAGATATTTATGACATTTCACCTGTAACTGTTGATGTCTGTGGCTTAGGCGTGAACACAGTCTCACAATTTTTACATACCAGGGTTATAAGCCATAGCAGGCACTGATAGCGAACTGCTTTGTGTTGATTATAATAATGAGATGAGTACCTTACAGTTCAGCAAGCAGTGGCAAGCTCCTGAAAGTAATATTTCACAGTAAAACCACTAACAGTCTGGGATTTGTTTTTGATTTGTGACATCCAGACATGGATCTGTGATATTTTCTTTAATGTGTTACTGTATATGACAAATTGTAGTAATAGTATGGACATGTCATGTGTATTGCTGTTTGTATTTCAACCATGGGAAAGAGACAGTCATAATTTTGTTATTCATGCAATGAGAAATGGGAAACTGGAACATGATATGACCATTAGAAAGATTTGTGGGAAAAGAGACATGGGAAGACAATGTGAGAAGATTCTTGACAGCCTCTTGTCATCTCGTGGAGGTGTGTCAGCACATGAACTGATACATACTGTTGAAGATTTGCAGATTGTGGAGAGGCATGATCTCCCATGCCATTTGGCAAGACACTTGATGATGATGTATATAAAATAATATACATTTTTGCACAGCCGCTGGTATCACCAGTTATGTGATGGAATATTGGACAAATCATGTTGAGAAGCAGCCAGAGAATCATTATCAGGTACTGAAATGGGAAACAAGTGGATTGAGAAAACTAGTTCAGCCAAGAAAAAAATTTAAGAATGATCGAACGAACAAATGAACTTAATTTTCTTTATTACTAAGACAAACGATGAGATAGGTCAAAGGTGCTGGACCATAGCATCAGAATGTAAGATAGGTTATAAGGTGCTGGACCATAGCATCAGAATGTAAGATAGGTCAAAGGTGCTGGACCATAGCATCAGAATGTAAGATAGGTCAAAAGTGCTGGACCATAGCATCAGAATGTAAGATAGGTTATAAGGTGCTGGACCATAGCATCAGAATGTAAGATAGGTCAAAGGTGCTGGACCATAGCATCAGAATGTAAGATAGGTTATAAGGTGCTGGACCATAGCATCAGAATGTAAGATAGGTTATAAGGTGCTGGACCATAGCATCAGAATGTAAGATAGGTTATAAGGTGCTGGACCATAGCATCAGAATGTAAGATAGGTTATAAGGTGCTGGACCATAGCATCAGAATGTAAGATAGGTCAAAGGTGCTGGACCATAGCATCAGAATGTAAGATAGGTTATAAGGTGCTGGACCATAGCATCAGAATGTAAGATAGGTTATAAGGTGCTGGACCATAGCATCAGAATGTAAGATAGGTTATAAGGTGCTGGACCATAGAATCAGAATGTAAGATAGGTCAAAGGTGCTGGACCATAGCATCAGAATGTAAGATAGGTTATAAGGTGCTGGACCATAGCATCAGAATGTAAGATAGGTTATAAGGTGCTGGACCATAGCATCAGAATGTAAGATAGGTTATAAGGTGCTGGACCATAGCATCAGAATGTAAGATAGGTCAAAGGTGCTGGACCATAGCATCAGAATGTAAGATAGGTTATAAGGTGCTGGACCATAGCATCAGAATGTAAGATAGGTTATAAGGTGCTGGACCATAGCATCAGAATGTAAGATAGGTCAAAGGTGCTGGACCATAGCATCAGAATGTAAGATAGGTTATAAGGTGCTGGACCATAGCATCAGAATGTAAGATAGGTCAAAAGTGTTGGACCATAGCATCAGAATGTAAGATAGGTTATAAGGTGCTGGACCATAGCATCAGAATGTAAGATAGGTCAAAGGTGCTGGACCATAGCATCAGAATGTAAGATAGGTTATAAGGTGCTGGACCATAGCATCAGAATGTAAGATAGGTTATAAGGTGCTGGACCATAGCATCAGAATGTAAGATAGGTTATAAGGTGCTGGACCATAGCATCAGAATGTAAGATAGGTTATAAGGTGCTGGACCATAGCATCAGAATGTAAGATAGGTCAAAGGTGCTGGACCATAGCATCAGAATGTAAAATAGGTTATAAGGTGCTGGACCATAGCATCAGAATGTAAGATAGGTTATAAGGTGCTGGACCATAGCATCAGAATGTAAGATAGGTCAAAGGTGCAGGACCATAGCATCAGAATGTAAGATAGGTTATAAGGTGCTGGACCATAGCATCAGAATGTAAGATAGGTTATAAGGTGCTGGACCATAGCATCAGAATGTAAGATAGGTTATAAGGTGCTGGACCATAGCATCAGAATGTAAGATAGGTCAAAGGTGCTGGACCATAGCATCAGAATGTAAGATAGGTTATAAGGTGCTGGACCATAGCATCAGAATGTAAGATAGGTTATAAGGTGCTGTACCATAGCATCAGAATGTAAGATAGGTTATAAGGTGCTGGACCATAGCATCAGAATGTAAGATAGGTTATAAGGTGCTGGACCATAGCATCAGAATGTAAGATAGGTTATAAGGTGCTGGACCATAGCATCAGAATGTAAGATAGGTTATAAGGTGCTGGACCATAGCATCAGAATGTAAGATAGGTTATAAGGTGCTGGACCATAGCATCAGAATGTAAGATAGGTTATAAGGTGCTGGACCATAGCATCAGAATGTAAGATAGGTTATAAGGTGCTGGACCATAGCATCAGAATGTAAGATAGGTTATAAGGTGCTGGACCATAGCATCAGAATGTAAGATAGGTCAAAGGTGCTGGACCATAGAATCAGAATGTAAGATAGGTTTTAAGGTGCTGGACTATGGCATCAGAGTGATTGCTCTTGATAGAATGGAATGGAAGAATTAAGCTATGAAATATGGGAGTCACCAGCATAGCAGCTAAATGCTTGCATGCAGATCTGAAGGTCAGGGGTTCCAATTCATATGCAGCCTTAATTTTGTCAGACATGACTTTGGCTCTCACTTTGACCCAGCCTTAAGTGGGTGCTAGGTAAAGTTCTGGAAAGTAAACAAAGTAAAGGTACCTGGCGTGATGTTCACCACAACACCTGTCAAGGGCTGATGGGTCTATAAAGATAGTCTAGCCTCATATGCCTGATGTGTCACTGTCGTGCAAAGAGACCATCACTCAACTTACTTTACCCATGAGATCTAAGAAAAGTAACAGGGTGATAATAATCAAATATAAAAAAATGTAAAAGGAAATAGAACAGCCATGCAGCAGACATGGAAAACATAATTAGCCATAAGGAACAAATTGTAGTTTATTTTGTGGACATCTTGTGTGTATTTCAGTTGACTTGGTTTTAAAGGTCATGAGTTGTTTCTGTGTGACCTTGATACAGGTTTGTCTGAGTACAACTCTCACCATGTTCCCAACAACAGAGTGATTCTTGGTGTGTCCTGGCATGGCTACGATTACACTTGTCAGAGCCTCATTGTGAGTATCCTTGATTCTGGGGTTTCACATATGCAGATATTTAGCTGGACATACATATTCACTGACTTATCTGTTTTAAGTCGTAAGTTATTAAAATGTTTATTGATGTTCTGTTTAAAAAGTAATCAGTACTAACAGTTTGAACATTGATCTTGATGTTTGTCCACAACTTCTGTTTCTTCTCACAGTCCTTGATGTTCACATTTTGATCTTCATGTTTGTTCACAAATTGTCTTTTCTCACAGTCCTTGATGTTCACAAATTGTCTCTTCTCACAATTCTTGATGTTCACAAATTGATCTTCATGCTTGTCCACAACTTCTGTCTCTTCTCACAGTCCTTGATGTTCACAAATTGTCTCTTCTCACAATTCTTGATGTTCACAAATTGATCTTCATGTTTGTCCACAACTTCTGTCTCTTCTCACAGTCCTTGGTGTTCACAAATTGATCTTCATGCTTGTCCATAACTTCTGTCTCTTCTCACAGTCCTTGATGTTCACAAATTGTCTCTTCTCACAGTCCTTGATGTTCACAAATTGTCTCTTCTCACAGTCCTTGATGTTCACAAATTGTCTCTTCTCACAGTCCTTGATGTTTACAAATTGTCTCTTCTCACAGTCCTTGATGTTCACAAATTGTCTCTTCTCACAGTCCTTGATGTTCACAAATTGATCTTCATGCTTGTCCATAACTTCTGTCTCTTCTCACAGTCCTTGATGTTCACAAATTGTCTCTTCTCACAGTCCTTGATGTTCACAAATTGATCTTCATGCTTGTCCACAACTTCTGTCTCTTCTCACAGTCCTTGATGTTCACAAATTGATCTTTATGTTTGTCCACAACTTGTCTCTTCTCACAGTCCTTGATGTTCACAAATTGATCTTCATGTTTGTCTACAACTTGTCTCTTCTCACAGTCCTTGATGTTCACAAATTGATCTTCATGTTTGTCTACAACTTGTCTCTTCTCACAGTCCTTGATGTTCACAAATTGATCTTCATGTTCGTCCACAACTTCTGTCTCTTCTCACAGTCCTTGATGTTCACAAATTGATCTTCATGTTCGTCCACAACTAGTCTCTTCTCACAGTTCTTGATGTTCACAAATTGATCTTCATGTTTGTCTACAACTTGTCTCTTCTCACAGTCCTTGATGTTCACAAATTGATCTTTATGTTTGTCCACAACCTGTCTCTTCTCACAGTCCTTGATGTTCACAAATTGATCTTTATGTTTGTCCACAACTTCTGTCTCTTCTCACAGTCCTTGATGTTCACAAATTGATCTTCATGTTTGTCTACAACTTGTCTCTTCTCACAGTCCTTGATGTTCACAAATTGATCTTCATGTTTGTCTACAACTTGTCTCTTCTCACAGTCCTTGATGTTCACAAATTGATCTTTATGTTTGTCCACAACCTGTCTCTTCTCACAGTCCTTGATGTTCACAAATTGATCTTCATGTTTGTCCACAACTTCTGTCTCTTCTCACAGTCCTTGATGTTCACAAATTGATCTTCATGTTTGTCTACAACTTGTCTCTTCTCACAGTCCTTGATGTTCACAAATTGATCTTCATGTTTGTCCACAACTTCTGTCTCTTCTCACAGTCCTTGATGTTCACAAATTGATCTTCATGTTTGTCTACAACTTGTCTCTTCTCACAGTCCTTGATGTTCACAAATTGATCTTCATGTTTGTCCACAACTTCTGTCTCTTCTCACAGTCCTTGATGTTCACAAATTGATCTTCATGTTTGTCCACAACTTCTGTCTCTTCTCACAGTCCTTGATGTTCACAAATTGATCTTCATGTTTGTCTACAACTTGTCTCTTCTCACAGTCCTTGATGTTCACAAATTGATCTTCATGTTTGTCCACAACTTCTGTCTCTTCTCACAGTCCTTGATGTTCACAAATTGATCTTCATGTTTGTCCACAACTTCTGTCTCTTCTCACAGTCCTTGATGTTCAAACATTGATTCTCATGTTTACTTATAGCATTCTGCCGTTGTTCCTCTAGTCCTTGATTTTTTTTTTTAAACTGATCATCACGTTTCAAAACTATTAATCAAATCAAGTACCTTTGTGCTATAGGCTTTGTTCATTGCTCAAAACTACTTTTTATTCTTATTTAGATTGGCATCATTCATACAATTCTTGCCTAGGATTGTTACCTTGTATGCTTGTTTGATCTTTTTGTAGGGTAATGTTTGCAGTATGTTGGAGGACAACAGTACCAAATGTGACTTCAGTATGAGGCGGAAACTGACTGCTGGAGAAATCATCCAGGAAAATGTCACAGAATTTTATAGCCATCAGTTTGATATGCTATACACTGCTCCATTCTTTAATTATTATGTAAGCACTTCATTATTAAGGCCATAAGCACTTCATTGGTTATTTTGTAACTACTTCATTAATTATTTTGTAACTGCTTCAGCTTTAAGTACTGTTGTCATTTTGGAACTGTGGTAGTGCTAGCTTGATGCTTGCATGCCAGCCATGGGCTCAAATCTGCACCAAATGGATTTATTAAAACTGATGTAAGCTTACATGCAGTCCCAATGGGCACCATGAAATGGAAGATTGTATAATGTTGATTACATCACCCATCAAGTCTTTACAAATATGAGTCTGGTATCATTTACTTCTGAGGAGCAGCGGTTACAACATCAGGCGCTCATGTCGGAGACATGGGTTTGACCCCCGGTAAAGCTATTGAGTTTTTCTGTCGGGGCAAAAAATAAACATCCCAACTTTCACAGTCCTGGCAACAGCACTAGCCATGTGGCCCTGGATCCTCAGGCTCACGACTCCCTGTTTACACCGCCCTAAAAAGTGGTGAATATAGGCAGTTCTAACAGAGTGAGTTTACTTCTTCTTCGGAAAGATGACACAAAACAGCACTGGATGTTTAAAATCAAAAGATGGCCACTTATTAATGGGACATAGTAATATAATAAACAGAAGGACAGAGTATATAGGGGAATTGTGTGATGATAATAGACCAGATGTAGAATTGCAGGCCAGCAATGAAGGTCCACCAATAATGACTGCATAAACTTAGGATGCATTGCATTGTATAAAGAAACGAAAAGCACCTGGGCCAGACAACATCTCACTTGAAGAAATCGAAGCACTGGGAGATTTGGGAATTGAAATAATAACTAAACTTTTGAAAATTTTTAATAGTGGGTACATAAAATGACTTTTCAAAATCCATAATTGAGGCTCTGGCAAAGAAACCAGGCACTTTAAAATGTGAAGATCATCGCACAATAAGTCTATGAATCACATGACTAAGATTTTACTGAGAATAATTATAAAGAGAATGAGAAAAAAAATTAAACAAGAAATCAGCAAAGAACAGTGTGGGTTTGTAGAAGGAAAAGGTACAAACAATGCCATATACATTCTAAGGACATTGTCAGAAAGAGCTATAGAAGTAAAGACTGATTTGTTTTTATGCTTCATAGACTATACAAAAGCATTTTGACTGTGTGAAACATGAAGAAGTAATCCAACTATTAGAAAAATTAAACTAGTGGAAAAGATTTATGAATAACAATGTCTACTGGCAGCAAACAGCAGCTATAAAAATTAACAACTGTTTAGGTACATTTCAGTGCATAAAGGGGGTGTACGACAAGGATGTGTACTGTCACCTGATTTATTTGTTATTATACAGTGAATATATTATGGGATCTTTACTTGATATGCCAGGAGTTGTGGTTGGTGGGCATAATATAAACAATGTACGTTATGCTGATGACACAGTCTTGATAGCAACTAGTCAGAAAGGACTACAGGAAATGATGAGATGCAGTGTTGGTAGAAAGTGGAAGAATGGGCCTCAGTTTGAGTAATGGAAAGACAGAAGTAATGGTGGTATTAAAAAAAAAAAAATTATTCCAAAATGTTAATACAAGTCAATCGTGTTATTTTGGGACAAGTACAGAAATTCAAATATCTGGGCACATGGATAACATCAGATGGAAGATGCATCACTGAAATAAGAAACAGAATAGGACAGACAAAAATGCATTGTACAAAATTAAGAACATCTTATGCAATATATCTCTGTTTTTGAAGGTTAGAAAAAAGCATTCTTGCTTGCTACATAATCCAGTTTTATCAACATATGGCTGTGAGTCCTGGACAAGTTGGCAGGCCAAACAGTTTCTTGTGGCCTCAGAGATATGGTTTTACAGAAAAATGCTTAGAATACCTTGGACAGCCAGAAAGAGCAACCAAGAGGTTTTGAAAGAGGCATGAGCCTGAAGACAACTTATCACAAACCTCAGAAGGAGACAATCATCATTTTGTGGCCATGTTATGAGAGGAGGGAAAATGAAACATGACCACTGGAAAGATCTGTGGAAGGAGGGATAGAGGAAGACAATGACAGAAGATTTTTGTCGCTAGGCGTGGAGGTGTGTCAGCACACGATTGTGGATAAGCACGATTGCCCACGCCAGTCGGCAAGGCGTCTGATGATGAGAGTTAGTCATGTCTGTATATAGAGAAATATCATGTCTGTATATAGAGAAATATCATGTCTGTATATAGAGAAATATCATGTCTGTATATAGAGAAATATCATGTCTGTATATAGAGAAATATCATGTCTGTATATAGAGAAATATCATGTCTGTATATAGAGAAATATCATGTCTGTATATAGAGAAATATCATGTCTGTATATAGAGAAATATCATGTCTGTATATAGAGAAATATCATGTCTGTATATAGAGAAATATCATGTCTATATATAGAGAAATATCATGTCTGTATATAGAGAAATATCATGTCTGTATATAGAGAAATATCATGTCTGTATATAGAGAAATATCATGTCTGTATATAGAGAAATATCATGTCTGTATATAGAGAAATATCATGTCTGTATATAGAGAAATATCATGTCTGTATATAGAGAAATATCATGTCTGTATATAGAGAAATATCATGTCTGTATATAGAGAAATATCATGTCTGTATATAGAGAAATATCATGTCTGTATATAGAGAAATATCATGTCTGTATTAAGAGAAATATCATGTCTGTATATAGAGAAATATCATGTCTGTATATAGAGAAATATCATGTCTGTATATAGAGAAATATCATGTCTGTATATAGAGAAATATCATGTCTGTATATAGAGAAATATCATGTCTGTATATAGAGAAATATCATGTCTGTATATAGAGAAATATCATGTCTGTATATAGAGAAATATCATGTCTGTATATAGAGAAATATCATGTCTGTATATAGAGAAATATCATGTCTGTATATAGAGAAATATCATGTCTGTATATAGAGAAATATCATGTCTGTATATAGAGAAATATCATGTCTGTATATAGAGAAATATCATGTCTGTATATAGAGAAATATCATGTCTGTATATAGAGAAATATCATGTCTGTATATAGAGAAATATCATGTCTGTATATAGAGAAATATCATGTCTGTATATAGAGAAATATCATGTCTGTATATAGAGAAATATCATGTCTGTATATAGAGAAATATCATGTCTGTATATAGAGAAATATCATGTCTGTATATAGAGAAATATCATGTCTGTATATAGAGAAATATCATGTCTGTATTAAGAGAAATATCATGTCTGTATATAGAGAAATATCATGTCTGTATATAGAGAAATATCATGTCTGTATATAGAGAAATATCATGTCTGTATATAGAGAAATATCATGTCTGTATATAGAGAAATATCATGTCTGTATATAGAGAAATATCATGTCTGTATATAGAGAAATATCATGTCTGTATATAGAGAAATATCATGTCTGTATATAGAGAAATATCATGTCTGTATATAGAGAAATATCATGGTCTGTATATAGAGAAATATCATGGTCTGTATATAGAGAAATATCATGTCTGTATTTAGAGTATATAGTGTTATATCAGTATATCAAACTAATGGACTTAAATTTGCCTAGAGAAACCACACAACAGCCAGGGGCTGCTGGGGTTGGTTCTGCAACGTCCTGTAAAGGATACGCAACTAACCTTATATCTGTATATAGAGTTATGTCATGTCTGTATATAATTAGGTCTGCACTTAGACATATGTCTGTATTTAAACTAGTGTTTGTGTGTAAGCTTTTGTCTGTGTATAGACTTTCTGTTATCTATCTTTAGACTAAAGTCTGAGACTTATCTCTGACTTTAATTTTGACTGATTATGTCCACCAAGTTCTGCAACTGTTTTTTGATAAAAACTACGGCATGTCTCAAATGCTTTAACACGTTGGCCATGTTAGTTATGTCATTTGATACTTTAATGGAATTTAAACAAACTATACTTGATTTTTTAAATTTTTTTAATACATTTGTAGAATTCAACAGATCACCATCATCATCAAGTTTGGTTTGAAGATTCAACCAGCTTGACTTTGAAGTACAATCTTGTTGCAGAGCTGCAGTTAAGAGGTACCTGTTTCTCCAATAGTTTTTTGTTTAATGATTTAATCACACACAGGTGAGTAAGTAGATGCATATATGTGTGTGTGTTTTTGTGTGGGCGCACGTGCACGCACATACACACATATACATACATACACATATAAATATATATATATATATATATATATATATATATATATATATATATATATATATATATATATATATATATATATATATATATATATATATATATATATATATATATATATATATATATATATATATATATATGAATATATGTGTGTATGTGCGTCACATGTGTGTGTTTTTGTTTCATTTTGTTGTGGGAGGCTGTAGAACACTAGTGCATGTGTGCCTGTTATCACCGTGTTGTGACTGCTAATAGCCTGTGTAGAGTTGATGTGCTGTAAAAGTCAAAGACAGACTATTGAAAGCTTTGAGACATGTTGAAAATGTGGTGCTAGCCCCATATTTGTTTTAGATCAGTCCATGCCCAATGGGAGCTGTGGGGTTTATCTTTGAATCTTCACACGTGATGGTGATCAAATCTGACTCCATGAACTTGCTTCAGAAAACCATAACAGGAAGTTTCCACTCTAAATGGGTATACAGCATTCAAAAGTCACACTTCACCTCTCTCACCTGGATCTACTCATCTAGGCATGCCAGAGTAAAAATAATTGAATTAGGAGACCAGCTGGCAAGTAAGGCACTAATTCAAGGGCGGGAATAGGATGGGCCGAGCTCATAAATCTAAATACTGTACTGACTAGACTGGTAAATAGTGATGAGTTCTGAACACTGATTAGACTGGTTAATAGTGATGAGTTCTGAACATTGACTAGACTGGTTTAATAGTGATGAGTTCTGAACACTGATTAGCCTGGTGAATAGTGATGAGTTCTGAACACTGATTAGCCTGGTGAATAGTGATGAGTTCTGAACACTGATTAGCCTGGTGAATAGTGATGAGTTCTGAACACTGACTAGACTGGTGAATAGTGATGAGTTCTGAACATTGAATAGACTGGTGAATAGTGATGAGTTCTGAACACTGACTAGACTGGTTTAATAGTGATGAGTTCTGAACACTGACTAGACTGGTTTAATAGTGATGAGTTCTGAACACTGATTAGCCTGGTGAATAGTGATGAGTTCTGAACACTGACTAGACTGGTTTAATAGTGATGAGTTCTGAACACTGATTAGCCTGGTGAATAGTGATGAGTTCTGAACATTGACTAGACTGGTGAATAGTGATGAGTTCTGAACATTGACTAGACTGGTTTAATAGTGATGAGTTCTGAACACTGATCCGCTGTGACCTGTAAATAAAGCCTGGAAAAGCACGTCCTGGAGGTCAAGACAGAAGATGCAACAACTGAGTGCAGGAACCAGAGGGTTCAGCAAGCACACTACGCTTAGAGGAAAGGCAAGACGGACATAAAACCAGACTGACTGGCACCATTAGTATTGAACTCTGCACTGGCTGCTGAGGATGGGGACGGAACGTGTATAGCAATGCCCTGAGTGCTGTGATGTCAATTCTTGACTCAACTAATGCAGGAACAGTCAGTAAAGATACCTTGCAACAGCTGCTGCCTGAAAGGACTGTGCATGTATGGGAATGCCCAGTCTCCAGTAATGTTAATTGTTATAACATTTGATATCACCACTTTGCCTGTCCATTTGTTTCCCATTTTAGCATCTCTTTTAGTATGCTACATATAAAATAGACTGTTAAAAAAACACACACAAAAACACCCTGCATAGTTATCAGAAGGGAAAGCCTGTATGCCTAAAAACCCAATTGGAAAACAGCTCTTATTTGATTAGTTGAACCATAAGATATTCTTATGTGCAATTTAATTAAACAGGTTCACTCATTAAATGACAAAGATGTTAGAATTTTGTTGTTGTTGTTGTAATATTCTGTGAATAAATGTCAAATGTGGAATGTGAAACTTGTCTCATCTGTAGGTTTAGCACTTCTGTATGGGGATGACCTGGGGCTGACCAGCGACTACTCTGACACTGAGAAAGCTCTGTGGACATGGCCAGGACACACAGTCCTCTTGACAGATTCCCCCAAATCCCAGCCTGATGTCTTTCATTATGCGGGTTAGTTTATGTTGGTCTCAAGTGTACAGATTGTTTCCTGTCCTGTTCTTGTTGTCATCGGTGAGGAAAATGGGCTGTTGCACTCTTCTTGTGATAATGTGTTAGCATGCTGATTGTTCAGTGTACAGTTCTTTATTTCAAATGTTTTGTGCAGTGTAATTTACATTGTAAACATGTATGAGTTTTGAGTTGAGTTATTTACTTTGTAAACATAGATGAGTTTTGAGTTGAGTTATCCTCTTGGCACTGCAGATGCTCCCATAGGTGCTCAGATCCTCTCCTCATAAGTGCCCCACAGCTAATAGTACGCCCTGTGCTTCTTCTTCTTCTGCCTTTCTATCCCCCAATGGAGCATAGGCCCTCAACCAACTCACGCCAATTCGTTCTATCCTTTGCCATTGCATGGAGCTCTCCCCATGTCCTCCCAATCTTTCTAACCTCGTTCTCCAGCTCTCTTCTCCATGTGTTTTTTGGCCTTCCTTTATTCCTATGCCCCTGTGGGTTCCAATGCAAAGACATTCTAGTAATGCTGTTCTCCTGTTTTCTCAGTGTGTGCCCTATCCAACGCCAGCGTCTTTTCCTCACTTCCTGATCCACTGGAGCCTGTTTAGTTCTCTCCCAAAGTTCTACATTAGTTATTCAATCATACCATTTTATTCCCTCTATTCTGCGCAGGCACCAGTTGATGAATGTCTGTAATTAATTAGTAATTGCCTTGGTTGTTCTCCATGTTTCCGCCCCATACAATAGTACTGATTTGACATTAGAATTAAAAATTTTTAGTTTAGTATTTCTTTTAATTTCTTTTGACCTCCACAAATTCCCTAGTGCTATGAAAGCCCCTCTTGCCTTTTGTATTCTTATTTTAATATCTCTATCAGTTCCTCCAGATGCTCCCTTAGGTGCTCAGACTCCCTCCTCATAAGTGCCCCACAGCTAATAGTACGCCCTGTGCTGATTGACAAGATCTCCTGTTAGTCTGGTGTGTCTCTGATGATGGTCTCCACTTCAAATCTCCCATTTGGCACGATGTGCATGCATGTCTCTCTAGTCCTTCGGTCAGTTCTCTCACCAGGGCAATAGCCATGTTGCCGTCATTAGGGATGTGTTGAAAGTTAAATTAAGAATCAACATCACAACATTGGGACACTCCCATAAGCACTCTGTCCCCATCTTTAGCAGCAAGCAAAGAGTTCCAAACAAGTTATAGTCTGGTTGATGAGGTTAGTATAGTTATAGTCTTTTTGATGAAATCAGTACCACTTATAGTCTTTTTGATGAAATCAGTACCACTTATAGTCTTTTTGATGAAATCAGTACCACTTATAGTCTTTTTGATGAAATCAGTACCACTTATAGTCTGTTTGATGAAATCAGTGCCAGTTATAGTCTGTTTGATGAAATCAGTACCAGTTATAGTCTGTTTGATGAGGTCAGTACCAGTTATAGTCTGTTTGATGAGTTCAGTACCAGTTATAGTCTGGTTGATGAGGTCAGTACCAGTTATAGTCTGGTTGATGAGGTAAGTACCAGTTATAGTCTGGTTGATGAGTTCAGTACCAGTTATAGTTTGGTTGATGAGGTTAGGACCAGTTATAGTCTGGTTGATGAGATCAGTACCAGTTATAGTCTGGTTGATGAGGTAAGTACCAGTTATTGTCTGGTTGATGAGGTAAGTACCAGTTATAGTCTGGTTGATGAGGTTAGGACCAGTTATAGTCTGGTTGATGAGGTTAGGACCAGTTATAGTCTGGTTGATGAGGTAAGTACCAGTTATTGTCTGGTTGATGAGGTAAGTACCAGTTATAGTCTGGTTGATGAGGTTAGGACCAGTTATAGTCTGGTTGTTGAGGTAAGTACCAGTTATTGTCTGGTTGATGAGGTAAGTACCAGTTATAGTCTGGTTGATGAGGTAAGTACCAGTTATAGTCTGGTTGATGAGGTAAGTACCAGTTATTGTCTGGTTGATGAGGTAAGTACCAGTTATAGTCTGGTTGATGAGTTCAGTACCAGTTATAGTCTGGTTGATGAGGTAAGTACCAGTTATAGTCTGGTTGATGAGTTCAGTACCAGTTATAGTCTGGTTGATGAGGTAAGTACCAGTTATTGTCTGGTTGATAAGGTAAGTACCAGTTATAGTCTGGTTGATGAGGTAAGTACCAGTTATTGTCTGGTTGATGAGGTAAGTACCAGTTATTGTCTGGTTGATGAGGTAAGTACCAGTTATAGTCTGGTTGATGAGATCAGTACCAGTTATTGTCTGGTTGATGAGGTAAGTACCAGTTATTGTCTGGTTGATGAGATCAGTACCAGTTATAGTCTGGTTGATGAGGTAAGTACCAGTTATAGTCTGGTTGATGAGGTAAGTACCAGTTATAGTCTGGTTGATGAGGTTAGGACCAGTTATTGTCTGGTTGATGAGATAAGTACCAGTTATTGTCTGGTTGATGAGGTAAGTACCAGTTATAGTCTGGTTGATGAGGTAAGTACCAGTTATAGTCTGGTTGATGAGGTAAGTACCAGTTATTGTCTGGTTGATGAGGTAAGTACCAGTTAGTCTGGTTGATGAGGTCAGTACCAGTTATAGTCTGGTTGATGAGATCAGTACCAGTTATAGTCTGGTTGATGAGGTAAGTACCAGTTATAGTCTGGTTGATGAGATCAGTACCAGTTATAGTCTGGTTGATGAGGTAAGTACCAGTTATAGTCTGGTTGATGAGATCAGTACCAGTTATTGTCTGGTTGATGAGGTAAGTACCAGTTATAGTCTGGTTGATGAGATCAGTACCAGTTATAGTCTGGTTGATGAGGTAAGTACCAGTTATAGTCTGGTTGATGAGATCAGTACCAGTTATAGTCTGGTTGATGAGGTAAGTACCAGTTATAGTCTGGTTGATGAGGTTAGGACCAGTTATAGTCTGGTTGATGAGGTTAGGACCAGTTATTGTCTGGTTGATGAGATCAGTACCAGTTATTGTCTGGTTGATGAGGTAAGTACCAGTTATTGTCTGGTTGATGAGATCAGTACCAGTTATTGTCTGGTTGATGAGGTAAGTACCAGTTATTGTCTGGTTGATGAGATCAGTACCAGTTATTGTCTGGTTGATGAGGTAAGTACCAGTTATAGTCTGGTTGATGAGGTTAGGACCAGTTATTGTCTGGTTGATGAGGTAAGTACCAGTTATTGTCTGGTTGATGAGGTAAGTACCAGTTATTGTCTGGTTGATGAGGTAAGTACCAGTTATAGTCTGGTTGATGAGGTTAGGACCAGTTATAGTCTGGTTGATGAGGTAAGTACCAGTTATAGTCTGGTTGATGAGGTTAGAACCAGTTATTGTCTGGTTGATGAGGTAAGTACCAGTTATAGTCTGGTTGATGAGGTAAGTACCAGTTATTGTCTGGTTGATGAGGTTAGGACCAGTTATAGTCTGGTTGATGAGGTAAGTACCAGTTATTGTCTGGTTGATAAGGTAAGTACCAGTTATCGTCTGGTTGATGAGGTAAGGACCAGTTATAGTCTGGTTGATGAGGTAAGTACCAGTTATTGTCTGGTTGATGAGGTAAGGACCAGTTATAGTCTGGTTGATGAGGTAAGTACCAGTTATAGTCTGGTTGATGAGGTAAGTACCAGTTATAGTCTGGTTGATGAGGTAAGTACCAGTTATAGTCTGGTTGATGAGGTAAGTACCAGTTATTGTCTGGTTGATGATGTCAGTACCAGTTATTGTCTGGTTGATGAGGTAAGTACCAGTTATAGTCTGGTTGATGAGATAAGTACCAGTTATTGTCTGGTTGATGAGGACAGTACCAGTTATAGTCTGGTTGATGAGGACAGTACCAGTTATAGTCTGGTTGATGAGGTAAGTACCAGTTATAGTCTGGTTGATGAGGTCAGTACCAACTATTGTCTGGTTGATGAGGTAAGTACCAGCTATTGTCTGGTTGATGAGGTAAGTACCAGCTATTGTCTGGTTGATGAGGTCAGGACCAGTTATAGTCTGGTTGATGAGGTATGTACCAGTTATAGTCTGGTTGATGAGGTAAGTACCAGTTATTGTCTGGTTGATGAGGTAAGTACCAGTTATAGTCTGGTTGATGAGGTAAGTACCAGTTATAGTCTGGTTGATGAGGTAAGTACCAGTTATTGTCTGGTTGATGAGGTAAGTACCAGTTATAGTCTGGTTGATGAGGTAAGTACCAGTTATTGTCTGGTTGATGAGGTAAGTATTAGTTATTGTCTGGTTGATGAGGTAAGTACCAGTTATAGTCTGGTTGATGAGGTTAGGACCAGTTATTGTCTGGTTGATGAGGTAAGTACCAGTTATTGTCTGGTTGATGAGGTAAGTACCAGTTATTGTCTGGTTGATAAGGTAAGTACCAGTTATAGTCTGGTTGATGAGGTAAGTACCAGTTATAGTCTGGTTGATGAGGTAAGTACCAGTTATAGTCTGGTTGATGAGGTTAGAACCAGTTATTGTCTGGTTGATGAGGTGAGTACCAGTTATTGTCTGGTTGATGAGGTAAGTACCAGTTATAGTCTGGTTGATGAGTTCAGTACCAGTTATAGTCTGGTTGATGAGGTAAGTACCAGTTATTGTCTGGTTGATGAGGTAAGTACCAGTTATAGTCTGGTTGATGAGGTAAGTACCAGTTATTGTCTGGTTGATGAGGTAAGTACCAGTTATTGTCTGGTTGATGAGGTAAGTACCAGTTATAGTCTGGTTGATGAGTTCAGTACCAGTTATAGTCTGGTTGATGAGGTAAGTACCAGTTATAGTCTGGTTGATGAGGTAAGTACCAGTTATAGTCTGGTTGATGAGATCAGTACCAGTTATTGTCTGGTTGATGAGGTAAGTACCAGTTATAGTCTGGTTGATGAGATCAGTACCAGTTATAGTCTGGTTGATGAGGTAAGTACCAGTTATAGTCTGGTTGATGAGGTTAGGACCAGTTATAGTCTGGTTGATGAGGTTAGGACCAGTTATTGTCTGGTTGATGAGATAAGTACCAGTTATTGTCTGGTTGATGAGATCAGTACCAGTTATTGTCTGGTTGATGAGATCAGTACCAGTTATTGTCTGGTTGATGAGGTAAGTACCAGTTATTGTCTGGTTGATGAGATCAGTACCAGTTATAGTCTGGTTGATGAGGTAAGTACCAGTTATTGTCTGGTTGATGAGATCAGTACCAGTTATTGTCTGGTTGATGAGGTAAGTACCAGTTATAGTCTGGTTGATGAGGTTAGGACCAGTTATTGTCTGGTTGATGAGGTAAGTACCAGTTATTGTCTGGTTGATGAGGTAAGTACCAGTTATTGTCTGGTTGATAAGGTAAGTACCAGTTATAGTCTGGTTGATGAGGTAAGTACCAGTTATTGTCTGGTTGATGAGGTAAGTACCAGTTATAGTCTGGTTGATGAGGTTAGAACCAGTTATTGTCTGGTTGATGAGGTGAGTACCAGTTATTGTCAGGTTGATGAGGTAAGTACCAGTTATTGTCTGGTTGATGAGGTAAGTACCAGTTATTGTCTGGTTGATGAGGTAAGTACCAGTTATTGTCTGGTTGATGAGGTTAGGACCAGTTATAGTCTGGTTGATGAGGTAAGTACTAGTTATTGTCTGGTTGATAAGGTAAGTACCAGTTATTGTCTGGTTGATGAGGTAAGTACCAGTTATTGTCTGGTTGATGAGGTAAGTGCCAGTTATAGTCTGGTTGATGAGGTTAGGACCAGTTATAGTCTGGTTGATGAGTTCAGTACCAGTTATAGTTTGGTTGATGAGGACAGTACCAGTTATAGTCTGGTTGATGAGGACAGTACCAGTTATAGTCTGGTTGATGAGGTAAGTACCAGTTATTGTCTGGTTGATGAGGTAAGTACCAGTTATAGTCTGGTTGATGAGTTCAGTACCAGTTATAGTTTGGTTGATGAGGAAAGTACCAGTTATAGTCTGGTTGATGAGGACAGTACCAGTTATAGTCTGGTTGATGAGGACAGTACCAGTTATAGTCTGGTTGATGAGGTAAGTACCAGTTATTGTCTGGTTGATGAGGTAAGTGCCAGTTATAGTCTGGTTGATGAGGTTAGGACCAGTTATAGTCTGGTTGATGAGTTCAGTACCAGTTATAGTTTGGTTGATGAGGACAGTACCAGTTATAGTCTGGTTGATGAGGACAGTACCAGTTATAGTCTGGTTGATGAGGTAAGTACCAGTTATTGTCTGGTTGATGAGGTAAGTACCAGTTATAGTCTGGTTGATGAGTTCAGTACCAGTTATAGTTTGGTTGATGAGGACAGTACCAGTTATAGTCTGGTTGATGAGGTAAGTACCAGTTATAGTCTGGTTGATGAGGTCAATACCAGTTATAATCTGGTTGATGAGGTTAGTACCACCAACTTTAGCTTGATACCATTTTTAATCTGGGTTCACTTAGGAACCCAGGTCACTGTTAAAATGTATATGCTTGGTGCTTTTAATTATGATCGATGTAAGTTAAAAGACTTTTGAAATAATAGAACAGAGAGAAAGTAGATTATATAACATACTTTGTGCACAATAAAGATAGGTAGAAAGAAAATTAAAGTAACCTTTATCTTGACATGATTCTCAGATATTGTCTCTGGCACGGCTGTCGGGTGCCTGCTGCTGGGAGCTGCTTTGGGAGTGATGTTTGTGTGTGTTGGACTTCGCAAGCGAATCAAAAAAGTGAATGAACCATTTGTCAGGGACAGACAAGCTGACGTACAGGACTACACAGATGATGATTTCAACCTGTAAAACTTGAGAGAGTTACAGTTTCATTTCTTTGAATTGATTGTAAAATTTGATTTATAAGTATATTTTTGGAAGTTGTAATATTGGTTACATTTTCTATTTTTTCTAGTATTTGTTTTCTGCTGTCCTTTGTCCTGCTACTATCTTCTCCTTCTTGTTCATTCCATGTGTATATTTATTTGTTGTACATAATTTTTTCCTCTTACACGTAAGACAAAACAGTCAGGTTTAGATGGTGTATGACAACAGACTGCAAGTTTGTTGTTTCTTTTCTCTTGATGTAAGCAGTGCTGTCTCTTCTTCTTTTTTCCTCCCGTTTTCTGTTCTCTTCTCTCTCATCTTTTCTCTCTTCTTTAATTATTTTCTCTCTTCTCTTGCCTTTCTTCTGCTCTCGTATCTCTCTTTTGAGAATTGATGAAGAAAACAACTGAAAGAAAATGTGTAGACTTGTTATTTATTACCCTAAATGTCTTTGAATATTATACAGAGCTGCAGTATCATGTGGTTTTTTTACACCTAATGATGAAACAAATGGTCAGATTCCAATGCCACCAGTTTCAGGATGACTTTCCTCCATCTGTGTGACTCTGGGATTGAATCCAGCCTTATAAATGGATTTGCTGGTGGATCATCCTGATTATTCATCACTTCTGGACTGTGGTCTTGTTCCAGAAGATCTGATTTACATATCTGACTAATTTCTGTGCTGACTGTTGATTCCTCAGCTTTTAAGCAGATGCACTCCAATGTTAAACACAAAATTTATGTTAATACAGTGTCTCAATGTTGGACACAGTTTTGTTGTTAAGGCCCCCACCCCGGCTGTTGCCGGGGGCCCTAATATAACCCAACCTATGGGTTGAACGGGGTTTCTGGGACCTATCCCTGGATGATCCTCATCTGAATGGTGGCATATTGTGTCACTGGGTGTTCATCACTTGGTATGATGTCCTGGTGGGGTTGAACGTCTGTAAACAAATGCACAAACACATTGATCCTGTCTACATTGGCCAGGCTTCCACTTGGGAACCTGTTTCTGGGATGATTGTGGAGAGTTATAGGCAGGACTTGACCAGTGTGATCTCTGGTCCTGGTGCAGCATGTGTAGGCAGGTCTTGACCAGTATAATCTTTGGTCCTGGTGCAGCATGTGTGGGCAGGTCTTGACCAGTATAATCTTTGGTCCTGGTGCAGCATGTGTGGGCAGGTCTTGACCAGTATAATCTTTGGTCCTGGTGCAGCATGTGTGGGCAGGTCTTGACCAGTATAATCTTTGGTCCTGGTGCAGCATGTGTAGGCAGGTCTTGACCAGTATAATCTTTGGTCCTGGTGCAGCATGTGTGGGCAGGTCTTGACCAGTATAATCTTTGGTCCTGGTGCAGCATGCGTGGGCAGGTCTTGACCAGTATAATCTCTGGTCCTGGTGCAGCATGTGTAGGCAGGTCTTGACCTGTATGATCTCTGGTCCTGGTGCAGCATGTGTGGGCAGGTCTTGACCAGTAGGATCTCTGGTCCGGGTGCTGCATGTGTGGGCAGGTCTTGACCAGTAGGATCTCTGGTCCTGGTGCAGCATGTGTGGGCAGGTCTTGACCAGTAGGATCTCTGGTCCTGGTGCACCATGTGTGGGCAGGTCTTGACCAGTAGGATCTCTGGTCCTGGTGCAGCATGTGTGGGCAGGTCTTGACCAGTATAATCTTTGGTCCTGGTGCAGCATGTGTGGGCAGGTCTTGACCAGTATAATCTTTGGTCCTGGTGCAGCATGTGTGGGCAGGTCTTGACCAGTATAATCTTTGGTCCTGGTGCAGCATGTGTGGGCAGGTCTTGACCAGTATAATCTTTTGTCCTGGTGCAGCATGTGTGGGCAGGTCTTGACCAGTATAATCTTTGGTCCTGGTGCAGCATGTGTAGGCAGGTCTTGACCAGTATAATCTCTGGTCCTGTGCAGCATGTGTGGGCAGGTCTTGACCAGTATAATCTTTGGTCCTGGTGCAGCATGTGTGGGCAGGTCTTGACCAGTATGATCTCTGGTCCTGGTGCAGCATGTGTGGGCAGGTCTTGACCAGTATAATCTCTGGTCCTTATGCAGCATGTGTGGGCAGGTCTTGACCAGTATAATCTCTGGTCCTGGTGCAGCATGTGTAGGCAGGTCTTGACCTGTATGATCTCTGGTCCTGGTGCAGCATGTGTGGGCAGGTCTTGACCTGTATGATCTCTGGTCCTGGTGCTGCATGTTTGTGGGCAGGTCTTGACCAGTATGATCTCTGGTTCTGGTGCAGCATGTGTAGGCAGGTCTTGACCTGTATGATCTCTGGTCCTGGTGCAGCATGTGTAGGCAGGTCTTGACCTGTATGATCTCTGGTCCTGGTGCAGCATGTGTAGGCAGGTCTTGACCTGTATGATCTCTGGTCCTGGTGCAGCATGTGTGGGCAGGTCTTGACCAGTATAATCTTTGGTCCTGGTGGTGGGGGGCTAGGGTACCTGCCTTCTGGCCAGTTGGTCTGGGTTGAGATGCCCTTTCTAATGTAGGATATATGGGTGCCAGGAAATATCCTGGGAAGCTAAGGCAGGATGTACATAACATCACCACCAAGTGTTAACTGGTCTTAACAAACAGGAATCTAGCCCCATATGCCCACTGGTGTGACAAGGGCCCTTTAAAAAAATGTTTGAGCTATCTTTATTATAACAGACAGTTGTCTAGAAAATACATTGATCAGTGTAATACTGCCACATCAGCCCCCAAGTGCTGTTTGGTTCAGACAATCTGATCATGTCTATACTGTATACATCTTATTATTATTATTATAAAATAAAAAAAAATTAATTGCTAATGACAGATTAAGCTGCCCCAGCACCCACTGAGTTGTTTATGACTGTGCTCTTGCACTTGTGAACTTTGTCCAGGTTTTTGTTGCTTGATTGCAAACTTCAGTTGTGATGAAAATCATTACTGTTTAGTGATCATTGCAGTCTGTTTGACACAAAATGTCTTTCTACATTGGTGTAACAATTTTAGTTATTTGATGTTGTACCTCATTTTGTATATCGGCACATATTGGATGTACATTATCTTGTTGACGGCTACATGATGTGACTTCATGTCGTTTGGTGTATGTCATATTGTGTAGGGCTACACATTATTAGATGTACATTATCTTGTTGATGGCTACATGCCATAAGTGACTACATGTCATTTGATATATGTCATGTTGTATATGGCTTCACATTATTGGATATACAATCGTTACTTGTGATTATAATCATGACTGTAGGGTGTATTGGTGTCACCTTTTCCTTGGAGTAGAGAAGGTGGGCTGAGAGAGGTATCACAGGTAACACATGGTCTCTGCAATATTGCCCAGGCTGTGTGCTATGAAGTCACACTAACTGTCGGCGAGGGATGTGATTACAATGTCTCCTCATAGCACCATATAACTTTGTTGTCGGGAAAGACGGAGAGGTGCCAACAGAGAACTAAACATTAATGGGAACTGCAATCTGCTCGACACAAAACAATTTTTTTTTTTACTCTGTGCTTATATTTTAGTTCTTTGATATATGTAATGTTGTATGTGGCTACCTGTTATTGGATCTGCCTTTTTCTGTGTAAGCTACATATTGTTGGAACTATGTTGTATGGAATTTTTTACTCTTGAATGAAATGATGGAATCAGGAACTGTGGATAACTTGGCTCCACCCTGACAGGCGACTATACATACATTATAGAAATACATTCAGACTGCAGGGTATGCAAAACACGGGTGATGATTTAGACATTTCTACTGACACATTATTTACAATGTGTTTCACATGCAAGCTTTCGGGTTTCATAGAATGCTATATTTGTATATGTTCTACTAAAATATTTCATGTAATAAAGAAGTGAATGTTTGTGTGAGTCTTCATGACATGAAACCTTTCTCCTGACAGCAGCATGTATCTATTGTATTTGATTATTATGCTAAAACATAATTTGTGTACAGAAAGAAAACTTTTCTCTGCATAAATACTCACAGTAGATTGCAGTTTTGAGATATCTTAAAATAAATGAACTCAAAAAGAAAACTGATTGCCCACATCAGAAGAAAATGATATTCTCTCCTCACATTTTGAGATAGGGAAAACGAGTATATTGTGACAGTGACAAGTTGAAGACCATGAGAGAAGATGTTGGACAGTCTGGCATCCATAGAAGGAGAACTTATAAAAAATGAGAGACAGTATACTAGAGAGTAGGCTGCTGAGACACTGATTACAAGTGCCGCACTGCATGGACTACCAGTGCCGCACTGCATGGACTACCAGTGCCTCACTGCATGGACTACCAGTGCCGCACTGCATGGACTACCAGTGCCACACTGCATGGACTACCAGTGCCTCACTGCATGGACTACCAGTGCCGCACTGCATGGACTACCAGTGCCACACTGCATGGACTACCAGTGCCACACTGCATGGACTAGCAGTGCCACACTGCATGGACTACCAGTGCCACACTGCATGTACTACCAGTACCACACTGCATGTACTACCAGTGCCACACTGCATGGACTACCAGTGCCACACTGCATGTACTACCAGTGAGTCTTTGTTCCGTATCTGCTGATGCAATAACCTTAATTACCTTTCTGATCTTTAACACCACCTCTTCCACATGATAATTAAAAGACAGGCATCTGTCAAAAGCTTTTCCAAGAATTTGTAGTTAATTCTATATTTTAATCTTACTGGGATTGATTGTGATGTTTGGGTCACAGTTTTAACATTGATTGAACACCAAAGTCCAGCTGCTTGATCTGGGTTGATGTATTTATTGGAATGCACACTGGTTGGCTCGCTGCCAGATGCTCCTGTAGCAGCCGTGTACATGTGTACCCACGCAGCAGAAACCATAGCTCATACTGTAAGGCACCAGATTTATAATTTCCCATTTTGTTATAAACTACCAATGCTTTACACTCTTGTTATAAACTGCCGTTGCTTTACCACTTAAAGTTATAAAC